TACCCCTCAGATACCTATTTGTTGTTTTAGTCTGTTTGTGAAATCGCTTGTAAACTCGACCCCCCCTACGCCGGTGGTATAATCCAAAACGCAGAGCTATATGATTTCCCGACTCAACCTGAACGCCTCACTGACTGAAACTGGACTCGATCGGCTTGTTTCGTCTTTTTCTTCTGATTTTAAACCTAAACTCTGTCACAATGTCGATGATGTGTGGAGGCTTAAACGAGCCGATCGATGCGGACGACAAAATCCACAAGATCTGTGAGACCGTGAGTAGAAACGAGTAGTATAAGAGTATTATAATACCTGACTGTGTTCTCTGAAACCATCCATGCACAGTAAACAGGGCCCTTGTTTCATTTTAATGTTGTTGTGATCTCATTGTTTCTCAGTTAAAGCCCCATGCAGAGCAGAGAGCAGGGAAGACTTTTGAAGTTTTCACAGCCAAGAGCTACTCCACGCAGGTTGTGGCCGGGACCAACTACTTCATTAAGGTAAATTATTATTCAGCACACATAGAAAAACCTGCTTACTGCACAGATCTGTTACTGGAAACCACATGTGCTCTGCAATGCACTCCAGCTGGACCAGTGGATGAGAGGGGAGCTGTGCAAGTCAACTCATTTTTTATGAAGGTTAATAGCCACTTTTGGCCCATTGTTTTGGGTCACTGTCAATGCTCTTAGCTCCTGGCAGCATTTTGGACTGCAGCAGGTGAAACCAAACAACAGTGGTGCACATATTGGAGCATTAAGCAGCTAGAAACCAGGTAGTTTAGTCTCAGGAGCCCAAAACAGAGCTAGAGGAGAGTGAATATTGGACTGAAACAAGGGAAAAACTAAGAAAACTCTTTAATTTAATACAAGTTTAGGTTTTAACTTTCCAAGTTTGAGGAAACTTATTTGACATTGTCACAACTTAAGTTACTCAAATCTGCATTTCAGACTATAATAGTGGAACCACTTATGCACGCAGTGAACTATATGTTATTAGGTTTCTATGTGACTTAACTTGATGAGTTAAGTAGACGATCATTTGGACCTTTTTGCCGACTCATTCACTCACAATTATACATTCTGAAAGTGATAATTAGACAATTTTCAACTTGATATTGACAAAAGTATGTAATTACACATAATTAACTGTGAAATTGTGTTTTCTGCTTCTCACACTTGAAGAACTCAAGTTAACAGAACTTTCTCACTTCAATGAGTCTACTTTTTATGTAGATAAAACTAAACATTTATATATAGTTAAATGTTTATTTTTACGTACTTTTTTATTCAGCTGTGTTGCCATTGTTTTAGCTGCATGTCTACTTCTCTACTTCTGACTTCCTGTAAATTGTTGTGTGTGTAAACAGAGCAACTTCAACCTGGAGTCAGATGAATCAGACTGAAGTTATGAGGACTCTCTTGATTTACATAAATTGCTGATAATTTAGGTTTCTAAGTCCTAACAACTTGTAACTGTTATCTAAGTCAAAAAATACAAGTTAAGGTTTTTTTTACATGACTCCAAAAACATATTAATGTTGGTCCGTGTCTGCTGGATGTGTAATTCAACAACCGCTTGCTAACAACAAATCAGTGGTGCGTTTAGAGCTTGTTTCCACTGCCTCTTAAGTTTTGAAGATCTCCTGAAACTTTACTTTTACTTTGCTGCAGGTCCACGTGGGAGGAGACGATCACGTTCACCTCCGTGTTTATGAAAAACTCCCGTGTCATGGAGGAGATCTCGAGCTGAGTGCTATGCAGCAGTCCAAGAGCCACCAAGACCCGATTGAGTACTTCTAATGGGATCCCAAACCAAGCAAAGCTCCAGTGCCTACAGTCTGCCATCCCATTATAGCCAGTTATTATCAGATAATCCTGGCTCATTAAATAAAACATTGTTCATATTTCTAACATGTTATATAATAGCATACCGTATTCGTACTCTAGATCATGATGTTTACAGTGTGTCACAATGGAACTATTTTGTATAAGATCAATTAATAAATGAATCAGATTTGTTGTGATTCAATATGTTGCTTCTCTCTCTGTGGTGTGTGTGATTTGTGAAATGCCTGCAGCTCAGGGTGAATGTGTTCAGCACACGGTGTGAAGAAAAAGGGTTGGGCAAACATATTTTGGTTACAGACTCTAAGAAGACAAACAGAAGTCTTTTCATTGTATATATCACTCATTCATGACAGCTGTGGACGTTGCTTGAGGTTCTTGATTGATTTTATGGATCATTACACTCTCACATATACTCCAACTCCAACGCATTTTCAGTGAGCCAACATGCACAGTAGCATCACCCTGATTCAGTTTAACCTAAGGGGTAAAAAAACCTTTAAATAATGTCACTGGTTACAGCTGAGTTTACCCTATTTAAATGTCAAAATGGCTGCTGTGAAAAAGGTCTATCATGTCCTGACCAGAGTGAGTTTCTGGGCAGCATTGTGCACAGACTTACAGGAAAGCGGAGGCTAAAAAAAGGTATGAGCTGGACTGATCTAACCCTCCAGCACTCATGATGTATCGCTCCTGATGAGCAAGCAGGTTGGCAGCCTCTGCTATCAGTCAGTATGAATGTGTGACAAAGCTTGAATAGTACCGGTACACCAGAAAAAGGCTGCGGCTAAAAACAAGTCCATTTACCATTCACACAGGCTTAATACGAAGCAAAAGGCAAAGTGAATTATGGGTTACACTTTTACACAGTTTTTCTGTTGTAATGACAAAATACCAAAAAGGGGAGCGGCTGAGATTCTTGTTGGGTTCACATGACTGTGACTCAGGGCTTGTCTGGGCTCACAAAACAGTTTCACCCACAGAGATTAAAAAGTAAAATAGTTTCTTCTCAACACATATAGCTAGAAGGGCAAATACCTATAAACCAGGATACATAGAGACAATATCAAAATAAAAATATTATCTTCCTTACCTTCACAAGTCTAAAGGTCTTCAGTAAAGTTTCTTTTTCCTTTTATTTCAGTTAAACTTCCTGAAAACATGTTGGTTGTTAAGCATTTCCTAACAATGAATCCAAGCAGCATACTGAACAGAAAAGAGAGAAAAGAACAACAAACAAATAAACAAAACAAAACAAACAGACAAAACATCTAAAATACAGGTTACATTAGATTACCTTAAAGGGGATTTAATCTATATATAACGCAAGTAATTCAGAGAGTCTTAAGGCATTTCTCTTTTCCAGTTTTTTTAAGGATTTAAAGAAGATTTTCAAGTCATTTATAAATGATACAAAGTTCGGAGCACCTTTAGTGCTGTGAAACAAGATAGAAGATCTATAAACTGTCACAAGGGTTAAAAAACCTGAAGCTGATCGATCCTGTAGGAACTCTGTCAGTCAATAACTGAGCCTTTGACCTCTGACTTTCTGCCAATAAATCTAGTTTACCTTTTTTTCTCGTAGGTTCCAGAAGAAAACATCTATATTTATCGAGAAACAACCACAATTTGATCTGATTAATGTTTCCAAAGTCTTCACTCGTCACTAAAGGTCAGCTGCATGGAGATCTGTGGCAGGAAAACTCACTTATGATCCTTTAAATCTCTTCTTATGACTCACTTTTACTTTATGGTTTTTAACTGATGCTATTTGTTGTAACAATTTTAATTATTTTTTGTCTTTTGTCTCTCTTTGTGGATTTTATGTACTTTTATTATTTGTTTATATCGTAACGCACTTGTTTTCAAAAGATCTATATAAAAAGTTATTATTATTTCTGCCTTAAAACATCTTGTTTGAGATTTTATACCTTCATACCTGTCACAAAACTTGCAATGATAATAATAATAATAATAATGTAAACAAAGGAGATTTGAATACACAAAGAGTTCGCTTGTTCATTCATCCACAGTTTAAAATATGAATAAGTGTATATATTTTTGTATATACAGTGAGATGTGAAAAACACCCAACTTTCAACACATCTGCATGAGTCACATAAATTATATAAGTTAGTTTGGTTTGAACAAAAACACATTGTGTAAACTAAGCACACACTTATGAATCACACCCACTGCACACGAGGTGAACCATGACCGTGATGACTGATCCGTGGGGTGTGGATAGCTGCAGGATTTTTTTTTTATGGTATGAATATGGAAGAAATTATGTTAACTTATAATCTTTTTAGGAATACAAAGAAAGTGCAGTTTGAATTCACAAGGCAATTATTAATGTATTTAACAGTTTAATAACTCTGAAGGCATTTTAATCTGTTTATACACTAGTTTTTAAGGTATATAACCCTCTTTTATTTACCAGGGTTCAAGTCTATGATTATTCTGCTCCCAGGTGTTATTAGGGAGTATTTATCTATCTCACATACACTCAACTGTTGGCTTAAGCTTAAACTGCCTCCACGGCTTTGGGGCTGTATTTTCTGATCCTTCAACTTTTCTGGAAGAACAATAGAAATAAACAACAACTCAATCCTCATAATCTGATCAAACACAGGTCTGTGAAACATCTGATTGAAGCACTTGTCCTAAGCCAAACCAAATCCTGCAAACCGCTTGGTCAGGGATGTGAAAACTGATGTCTGAGTGCTAGGATGTGAAACGGTTTCTACGGCTTTTAAATTTCCCTTTTTTGTTTTTGTTTGCATGTGTGGTTGCTTGATTTGTGTGTGTGTGTGTTTTGTTTTTTGTACAAAATGAATGTGTGATTGAACATCCTCATTAGTATGTCTATGTTCTTGTATAGTTGCTTTAAAGTGGTGAGTTGCTGTTTTCTGACTGTGTGTGTATCAATCAGGATCAATGCCTAATGCTCACTTCTTTATGAATTAGTTTTTCTTCTGTGGCACACAATAAAAGGCCATTATATTTCTCAATGTTATAAGTGATCCCTGTGAAAAATACCTATAAAAAAAGGTGTTTTTAAAAAAAAGATAAGAAACTGATGACTCTACCAGTGACCACAATCCAGTCACATCCCTGTTAGCTTGTGACTATTGTTCCTCTTTCACCAACAAAGACCACACCAATGAACGTGTGGAATTAAGAAAGGTTTATTGCACGTAATGAATATATGAAAACCGATGTGATGTACTGTAGGAGGGATGAATGGATCGGGGAAAAGGTTGAGGGATGAACGGATGAAAGAAAGGTGGGTTTGTTGGCGGATGGATGAATGGATTGGATGGGTTTGTCAAGATGGTAAGAGGGAACCGACTGGGTTGTGAGACTCTGAGTGGGGGAGCCGTCTCTTTGTATCTCGTGTAGAGAGCCCCAGTGGTTCCTGTATTTGGATTAGAGAGACGGAGGAAAAAAGGAAAGAAAGGAGAGGAGGAGGGAGTGAACTGTTGAGGTATGCTTAAGTAAGTTTTGAGCAGAAATGAGATGAGTGCAGGGCGTGGTCTTTATTCCTGAACCTATAAAACTTCATTTATTAAGATCCACGATTCTTATTTAACAGATTAAATAAGTTTATTGGACGTTTGGCCCTGCAGTTCTTTGCTCCTATCGTAGCTCTCTGGTGTTAACTTTGAAAACTCACATGATTTTGTTTGTGACACATCTTCTTTTAAACTCTTGTTCCATGAAGTTCTCACATTGTCTATTTTTTTTTTCTCTGTGGGATTCCTACAAATTACTTATAGAAGGAAATAATAATGGATTTAAATGAAATGCTGAGTATAGTGAAATTAATAAAGGGAAAATATACTGACACAAGACATTTTGATTCTTTATTGGGCAAACAGGAACATTTAATATTTAGACTTATATCAATATTCTTGAAGTTGAGCTTTAACTTCTCAGTGCATATTTTTCCAAATATGTTACTTCAGTATCTATAATTAAAGTACATTTCTTATCTGCTCCAAAATGTGGGAATAACTAAACTTAACTTACTCAAGAACTATAGAAATAATGTTCATTCCTCTATATTTTGTGCCTCACCCACCTGCAGTTTTCTTGGCGTTTGGCTTCCTCTAGTGTTAAAATCAGTAATTACATTAGTGCTCTCCTGATTGGGCTCTTTCTGAGGACTGAAACATTTTCACTGTTTTCCTTAACTGTTATAAGATGAGCCGTGTTTGATCATACCTGCCTTGACAGCTGACGTAGTTTGAGATCGGCTTTGATTTATCTTTTTGATCAATTTCTTTGAATTATTCATTTTTAAATCTGAATGATCATTTCATTTTGTGTGTTACATTACTTATCTTAAATTGTCACTAAGTGGCACTGTTTGATTAACATTAATATGAGGAGTCAGTTTGCTAACACTGGCTGTGGACAACAAGTTGAGGGCAGTTGTTTTAAGCATGTTTATATTTGTTTACATTTTGGCAAATTAACACCATTAAACGTATGATGAATTAGGTATTAGCAGTTACAGTTACATACAACTATCACTGGATTACTTTGATACTGAAGTAAACTCTTTATAGGCCGAAATCTGAGCACTAGATGGAGCATGAGTACTGTCTATTATTTTAGTGTTATACAGTCCTGGTCCACGCTTGAGGTGGATTTTTAATTACATGAAACATTACATTTCATTTTAAACTGGGGGTTTGAAGTCTTATGGAAGACTTAGTGTAGGCACTGATAGGAGAAAATGTTTATGAAACCAGCAGTGGTGGAAGAAATATTCTCAACCTTTCCTTCAGTAAAAGAACTAATACCACAGTCTGAAAATACTCAACTACAAACAGATTACACAACAATATCTTTCTTGAAAGGTGTCGGAGCCTAAACTGTTAAACATAGTGTAGTGTTTGGTCCTGTGGATTTTAGAGCATCAAGCTAAGGCTTAATTCAACCTACAATCTAGTATTATCAGCCAAATGTACCTAAAGTATCAAGTGTTTTACAATTTAATGCGATGTATTTGGATATAATATTACTGATGTATTAATGTGTATGTTGCTATATTTTAACTACTATCTACGGCAATGCTTCATATTTTGTATCTTGATACAGTCAACTTTTCATGAGCTCAGACAAACATTTTCCAGCTTATCCAAAAAGGGGTTTTTAGATTAAAATTTAAATTAATTTAATTATCTTAAGAATTTCAACCCATAAATGAAAACTTAATCCTTCAGTTTATCACAAACATTCAAAATCTGCACGTTTGGAAATACATTGTTTATACTGGACAGAAAGGGTATAAAACATTAATCTGTAACTAGTAAATAAAGCTGAAAAAGTGTAAATATTTGTCGAGGAAATAATTGTTTTTCCTTATTTAAATGAATGTAGATTTAGATCTCTTTTGGGTAAAAATATCACCTTGAAAATGAATATAGTGAACAAAAATGCCAATCCAGGAACAATAAAAAAAACACATTTTTAGCATTTAAGCTGCATAAAGATACATTAAACTTAATAAACCTTCCCATATTAGTGTTTCAAAGCCATATTCTATATCTGTATTTAATATCTGCTGTTGTGTACGTACACGTCATGATTACACTGACTACACCATTCACACACGTACCACCACAACAATGGCCGACTCTTCAGTGAATTCTTCCTTGTTAAACTTTGTCCACTATGGTTTCCCATCAATTGTTTTCATGTTGGAACTATACTGACTAGAAATTCCCCTGAATTATTGATGAACTCTCTTTAAATATATTTTTGGGAGGTGTTTATGCTTTTTTGTTTTTGATAGGACAGGTGAAGATAGACAGTATGAAAATATACATACTAAATGAGGAAGTTCAGCGACCTCCAAGTGTCCTGACCTCCTCGTACTTCTGAGATTAAACAAGCTGTCTGACCCGTAATGCAGATAACTGAACATATGAACTACTATAACTCATCAAGTTATTATTGTAACGACTGACTGATTGTGTGCCAGGCACAGACTGGTCTCCATCATTACTGACATGAAACTCGTTTTTACCAGGAGAGTAAAGAAGCCCTGATTTTATTTTGACACACTTTGCATCAAATTGCTGAAAATCTGCATTATTTGATTAAAGTCTGGCAATATGGGAAAATTCACTTTCTTGCCAAAAGTTAGATGAAAAAGTTAGATGTCAGAGGCTGCAGCCAGAAGTTTAGTTTAGTTTAGTTTAGTTTAGTTTAGTTTAGCATAAAGACTGGAAGCGAAGAGAAAAAACTACCCTAGCTCTGTCAAAAACCCACAGCACCTCCAAAGCTGATTAATTATATAGCTCATTTGTTTAATCAGTACAAAAATTAAAGTATAAAAATGTCAAGTTTTATGGGGTGTTAGTTGTTGCACTGACTTCCTAAAGTCTCACTTTTTATGACAAGACTCCAAATATTCACTGCGAGTTGAGTTTGATGATGATGTTAAGCTCTATATTAGTCTCTCTAGCTTTATTTTAGTCTCCAACAAATCCTGAGGGAAATATCCGGCTCGTCAGCTGCTAAATGCTTCACTATGTTCACAAATGAATGTAAATGCTCCACAGAGTACAGTGATAATTCTCCTGTATCCTGTATGTTTGTTACTTGTCACATCCTCGTATTTGATCATTTGTTATCTTATAAAAGTATTGATTATAGCTGCTTTAAAGATGCACCAGATGATCAGGCAGTTTTTATGGAAGTGTCAGTGAAAGTTGGAATTTGGGGAGTAAGGATGAGCAACGCTTATCACACATGTACTGCAGCTCCACCCAGAATGTCACATTTTAAAACCACCTTCCAGTCAGTATCCAGGGGTAGTTACACAGTATAAATAAAGTTGATAACAAGCTGAGAATTAACAGTTGAGACTCATAAAAGCAGACATTGACTTCTCTGTTAACTTCAACAGACATTGTGACAATGGCTGACGGTTTGCTTGGAGCATGGTCGGATCCAAGGGAGCCTGACGGAGTTCAGGAGATTTGTGATCAGGTGAGCTTCAGAGCTTCTTCACAACCTCTAAACATGACTCTGCATGTGGTCTGTGTTTCAGTCTGTATTAACATCACATTTTATTTCATTCATACAGGTGAAGCCCCACCTGGAGCAAAAGACAAATAAGATATATATGGAAATCAGAGCAGTTGAATTCAGGAGCCAGATTGTGGCTGGAACAAACTTCCTCATCAAGGTAATTAATATTGTGATTATTTATCTTAAAGAAAGCCTAAGATATATGGACTGAATTGTGACATCCAGGCGAGTGATTAAACACTGCTCCTCACTGCTCAACAACACAAGATCAAGATTAATTTATTTAAGAGTCTAAAGTTCCTCTCTTTTTCCTGCAGGTTCATGTTGGAGGAGAAAAATACATTCATCTGTTTGTCTTCAGGGCACTTCCATGTTATGGAGGTGGGATCGAGCTGTGCAAAGTACAGGAGGACAAAACTAAAGAAGAACCCCTCGTACCTTTCTAAAGTGATCACTTTTCTAAAATGCTCTGCTTCTGCTTTCTGAAATGATTCAACACAAAACTGCTTTACAATACATCATTGTTGATTTTGAATGTATTAACTATGAGGGGAAATTGATTATGCTTTTGCTTGCATGAACTGATGTGTCTTATGTATCCATAATGATATTACAATGTTTAAGTTGTTGGGAAACTAAAAACAAAACTAATTATAAAAAGAGTTTAGCCTGGAGGGGATTGAAGCCTCTTCCTGTGTGTCCTGAGAATAATAAAAATATTTTTGCACAACAACTGGATGTATGCTTGGAGGTGTTTAAGGAGTAGGGGCAGGTGATGGATGTTTACAGTGTTGTGACATTTGAAGCCCTAAAGAAAAACAGTGTTTAAATAAATAAACAAAAGTCGACCACTTTGAACAAAATGTACATCCTGTTGCTGTGTGTTATCTCACTGAGGAGAGACTGCCTCTCCACAGTTATATCTGTGTAATGCTGATGATGGCTCTTGCTGGCAAGCAATAAAGAGCTACTGACAATCTGATTATTGTGACGTCTGGTGTTTGAGTTAAAAGAAAACAGTAGTGCTGGTCCAAATGGTCTGGAAGATAAATTTGTTAAACTTGCTGCTCATGTATTAATGTATACTCTTGCAGATTTATTTAATATGTCTCTGTCTACTTGTTTAATTCCCCATATATGGAAATGTGCTAGAGGTACATCTCTTCTCAAAGGCGGAGACCTATCAGACATGGATAATTATCAACCAATTTCTATTATTTGCACTACTGCTAAAATCTTTGAGAAACACATTTTTCAATCAATTATCATACTACATCAATCTTTTCAATATTTTATCCTCATCCCAATCAGGTTTCAGACCAACTTTCTCTACCACCACAGCTATTCTAAAATTCACTAATGATGTGTTCTCTTCCTTTGCTAAAGGTTAAAGAACAAGTGCAATTTCCATTAATCTTTCCAGGGCTTTTGATATGGTTGATCTCCTTGATAAGCAAGCTACATTCTGTTGGTTTAAATCAAAATGCTCTACTCTGGTTTAATGCCTGCCTTCATGAAAGACGTCAGTGTGTTGTCTTTCAAGGTTCTAAGTCTGACTATTTAATTGTTGACAAGGGTGATCCACGGGGCTCCACCGTGGGACCACTTTTTTTTATCAATGATCTACCTCAAATGGGTTCATCTTTATTTATTATTCTAACTCTGAAATTCCAGTTTGATTTTAGCTTGATCCAAACAGTGTTTTGTATCCAACATAGTCATTAAAATTCCTGTGATTTAAATATTATTTTTGATGATGGGTTACCCCTTGTTAAAGTTGATTCATTTAAATATCTTGGAGTTTGGATTGACCCCAAACTCTCCTTTAAGCCATACATTGATTTTATTGTAAAAAGAACATACGGATGATTATGCCGACATTGATTATCACAACACTACACACACTTATGTCAAACCATTTCATACTTTATACAACTCATGATATAGATTTGAGTTGTCCATATAGAACATATTATTGTGAGATAACCAAATATTCCTTATTCCATCCATGAAAATTGGATAACTATGTCTTTAAAAATATACCACTGCTAGGATTTACCACCACACCTACTCCTCAAAGTTCTGCCAAGCCCTCTGTGGTTTATTTCACTTACAACAGGTGTGACTTCCACAGAACTAATCAAAAAACTTCATTGGAACACATAGCGGCTGATATTATGGATGTGATAATGTTTGCCAACCAAACGTGTGTGTATTCAAGGTCTCCTTTTTTATCAACACTTCCTCAAAGTCATGCCAAAAACACTGTGTATTTTGCCAAAGAAGGTGTAACACAGAACTGAACAAAACTCTTCATGGGGACACAAAGTGCATAAATCATGGCAGGACAGTGTAGTCAATAAACAAACCCTCACTGTTCAGCAACACAAAATCCAGATAAATAAATGTATTTACTCCCCCAACTTTCCTGTTTTTCCTCCAGGTCCATGTAGGAGGAGACAGTTACCTTCACCTGAGAGTTTTCCAAAGGCTTATGTGTACTGGAGAGGCTGGGACACATTCATGTCCCATTAATGCATGTCTTTCTCATAGGTTCTCATGGATCCTGGTAGTACCTGCTGCCGTGGTCCTTGCTTCCATTGCTAATGTTATTATTATTATTATTATTATTTTATGTTGTTGTCATCATTCTTAATGTTATTATTATTATTATTGTTATTCATGTTATTAAAATTCATCATTCCCCATCCATGTGGCCGTCATCATCATCATGATAATTAGTTATTTCTACTAGTATAGTTTTTGCTCTTGTTGTTGCAGTGCACATTTGCCCCATCACATCACCCCTTCTCTTTACCCCCCTACCCCCGCTCCCGTCTGTCTCTCTAACCCTAACTGGTCGAGGCAGACAACCACCCACCTAGAGCTGGTCTCTGCCAAAGGTTTCTGCCTCTTAAAAGGAAGAATTTCCTTGCTGCCGTTGCCAAGTGCTTGCTCGTGGTTAGACCTGTTGGGTCTCTGTAAATAAATAATCAATAATAAAAGGTCTTTTTGAAAATTGTTCTGAGATAACCTTTGTTATAAATTGGTGCTGTACAAATAAAACTTAATTGAATAATATAAACTTACTGGGCATGAGCCCAGATAGCGATTGTGGCGGAAGTTCAGAGGTTGAGTGACAAAAGGTAATTAAATGTAACCTATTATATTACACCTTATCTATCTGGTTTGATAAAGGATGACCAAACAGATTTCTTTGGAATATGACTCCATTCTCCTCCGATGTCAGAAAATGTTTAAAAGTTTATGAAACCAGTACATTACTTGAAGAGTAACAAAGCCCTGCTTTCATGGTGAACTACTGGCACATAATCCCAATTGTTTTAATTTTAGTATGTTTTAAAAAAGCTAAATCAACAAATAACTCAGTATCTGTGTGGTTGTTTTATTCTAGCCACACTTGAGTAGAATGACACAGATGTCCTGCCTTAATGTTGCATGCATTTGGCATCAAAACAATATTAATCTTTGAATTTTAGGTCTGGATGACCCAATGAAAGTGATCAAAATCTAAATCATTGGATTTGAAACCTTTTATTATTATTTTTTATCTTCACAATCTAAACTGGAAATTTGGAAAGGAATTCATATCAGAGGAACAAATCTATCATGTGAGGGTTGTGGTTACACACAGCTCCACCCAACATGTAGTGTGGCCAGATTTCAGGTGTATTACTGTGTATAAATACATGTGCATTTGATAAACAGCTGAAACTACTGAGACTCATAACAGCAGAAAGTTAACTTCTCTGTTAACTTCAACGAACATTGTGACAATGGCTAACATTAAGTGTGGAGGATGGTCTGAGACAATGGAGGCCACAGAGGACATTCAGAAGATTTGTGATCAGGTGAGCTTCAGTCTACCTTCATTCTTCACAACCTCTACACACGACTCTGCATGTGTTTTGGGTGAGATTCCCGAAAGGGTACACAGCTCCTCTATTAGTGCGAAACATGGTTCAATACAGTGTAAAGAAGTGGATTGCACTTATTTTTCCAAGGCTTGCCTAGTTAAGATATATACAATGATGTCTCCCCGACTAGTGATAGGTGTCATCAGGCCCCTGTTAACCTTATACACATGCTCCGGCTTTGTCCATGCTGCTAAACTTCTGTCTGAACTACTGGGGCGAAAGCTTGACCCTAACCATTTCAGTGCTCTCTATGGGGTGTCCTTGGCCTCTTTCTTGGTATCCCAAAAGAATGTAATTGACTTTACTGGCTAGAAGACTGATCCTGATAAAGTGGAAATCTCCTGAACCCCGATCACATGTACATTGGATTTGAGATGTGATTTTCTTAAGCTGGAGAAAATAAGACTCTTTCTCGGAGGAAGGGCCAATGCATTCTTCAAGGTCTGGGGCCCCTTCCTCAAGTACATTAAGAATAGTAAATTTTCAGATATTACAAATTTGAATAAATGAATCATGGAGTGGGAAAAAGTGGGGGAAAAAACAACAATTCTGCACGTGATTTACATCAGATTTTATTTCATTCATACAGGTGAAGCCCCTCGTGGAGCAAAAGACAAATAAGATATATATGGAATTCAGAGCAGTTGAATACAGGAGCCAGATTGTGGCTGGAACAAACTTCCTCATCAAGGTAATTAATATTGTGATTATTTATCTTAAAGAGAAGTAAGAAAGCCTCAGACATATGGACTGAATTGTGACATCCAGGTGACTCATTAAACACTGCTCCTCAGTGCTCAACAACACAAGATCAAGATTAATTTATTTAAGAGTCTAAAGTTCCTCTCTTTTTCCTGCAGGTTCATGTTGGAGGAGAAAAATACATTCATCTGTTTGTCTTCAGGGCACTTCCATGTTATGGAGGTGGGATCGAGCTGTGCAAAGTACAGGAGGACAAAACCAAAGAAGAACCCCTGGTACCTCTCTAAAGTGATCACTTTTCTAAAATGCTCTGCTTCTGCTTTCTGAAATGATTCAACATAAAACTGCTTTACAATACATCATTGTTGAATGTATTAACTATGAGGGGAAATTGATTATGCTTTTGCTTGCATGAACTAACGATCTTGTGTATCCACAATGATATTACAATGTTTAAATTGTTGGGAAACTAAAAACAAAACTAATTATAAAAAGAGTTTAGCCTGGAGGGGATTGAAGCCTCTTCCTGTGTGTCCTGAGAATATTAAAAATATATCTGCACAACAACTGGATGTATGTGTGGAGGTGTTTAAGGAGTAGGGGCAAGTGATGGATGTTAATGAAGTTGTGACATTTGAAGCATTTTAGAAAAACAATGTTTCTTAAGCCAAGAAATTTTATGAATAAATAAACAAAAGTCAAACACTTTTAACAAAATGTACATCCTGTTGTTGTCTGTTATCTCACTGAGGAGAGACTGCCTCTCCACAGTTATATCTGTGTAATGCCAATGATGGCTCTTGCTTGCAAGCAATAAAGAGCTACTGACAATCGGATTATTGTGACGTCTGGTGTTTAAGTGCCAACTCTCATCTGACAAGAGCTGATTTTACATGACAATTAACACATAGAGATCAAGATATTTGGTGTTTGAATGTACTTTCTAAAGAGATAATATATGATGAATAGATAGGAGTTTGGAGGAGGAAAATAATATTCATACATACCTTTAGAAAATGATTGAGGAACATACAGAACCTGACCAAACAAAGAAAAAAAGGGGATTATAAAGTTCTGTCTCTCAACGTTACTGAATCAGGCAAAAGCTGAGGCTCATGGGAATGTTATTATAGTTTTGCAGGTATTTAGAAATTAACCAAAGTATTGAAAACTGAAATTTTAACTTAATGATTGTGTTCTTCACATTTATTTAAAAAAATTCTGAGAGGGGATATTCATGTCAGAGCCAAATTTTATGGCAATCCATCCAATAGTTGAGTTGAGATCATTCAGACTGAAGTTAGCTAAAACTACTGCGTAACTTAAATGTAATCTCAGATGTGTTGACAAACATATCTGTTAACGTGATATAATATAACATATGTCTGAAAACAGTTTTAATTGGCACAAAACAAATTAGTTGAATTTTATTTAAAAAAAGAAAATTCCACAAGCAGTGGTGTGAATGTAACAAAAAATGAAAGTACATTTACTAAAGGAATGTACTTCAATGTAGTACAAAGAGTTTTTAACTGGTTATGATTGTGATGCCTTTATATGACCTACATAACCACACAAGACCATCAGTGAGAAGACAGAAGATACTGTTTTTCTTCTTGTTCCTGCCAGATTTTATTCCTTTAAATCAATGGAACAAGGCAGATTTTGACCACTTTTGTCCAAAGGGGCAGACAGTAAGGGGTTTAAAGGTCCAGTGTGTAACTTCTACAGTAGCCCAGAACAGATAAACCGAACACTGGCTCTCAGTAGGGCCTTTTGCATTTTTACGAGTTTTTGGTATTATTCACTCTTCACGTCTTCATCAGGCTGAACTCGAAATCCACTTTCACGTAACCTCTTGATTGACGCAGTAGACCTTTTTCAAACCAACCTTTTTGGCTTGCCATGAATGGAAAATAAGGTGTGTTTGATAACATTAAAAACAACTAAATTACATTTAAGTGAGTCACTTCCAAGGTATTTTTTGTTGTGCAATGCCTGCTCGTGGGACACAGGACAATTAATGGAACCGAGCCATCATTAACGAATTTCTTTTCACCAGTTTTTCCATGTTATGACAATCAAAACATTTGCATATAGAGTGTGTGGCTAACATTGTCAGAAAGAAAACCAAAAACTTGACACTGACTTCCTACCAATCAATCTATTGGATCCTTTTCAAAGTTCAAGTAGACTTATTGACTAAAAACTAGCAAAAGTTCAGTTTTTATTTATGGCTATCTGTGCTTCTGGCTGCTGGTTTTACAAGCCTTGTGAAGGTGTCAGCCTTTTGCAAAGATTTACACTTCACTTAGTGAGAAATATACACTTAAAACTTATACAGAATTTACAGCGTAGAACTCCAATGATACTGGAAGTATGCCAATACACATACAACAACCTTAAATTCATTATACGGTCAAACAAATAACAGAATTGGTTATGGAGTCAGCCAGTAGCCAGTGCAGGGATGCAGGCTGCAGCAGAAAAAACAACTAAAAAGCCCTCTCAGATACCAGGTCAGTGCAAGACCGTTAGCAGCGCCAGGTTTGAGTACTGTTGGAGTTTCGGGAGATGTTGGGTGCAAAATATTTTGCAACAGACCAGATAGACTTTCAGTATCTCAAATGAAATCTGTACCTTATCTTTTTTCCATTTTCGTTCTGCCATCCAACACGGTTGCCTCGAAACACGGGTGTCACTATTCAGCCCGTCCCTAAATGTCCTCACTGTCAGAGGTGTGACAGAGTTCTGCATGTTTCCACAGATTGAACTGAACTTTGTAATTAATTGGTCTCTGTTCAGCAGAAGGGATTGGGTCGTTGTTTTAGGTAACAGGTATTTTCTTCTGTTTTTATTATTGCTCTCTGTGCTTATAAAAGATTTCAATACATTTAGAAAAAATATTATATATTGCACCATTGCCAAAACTAAGTCATTTGTTTCTTTTAACTGGTTATGAAACAGTCTTAATTTGATAGTGATGCCTTCATATGACCTACATAACCACACAATACCATACCATATGTATAGATATTCTTCTAGTTCCTTGCATATTTGTGCAAATGCACTGTATGACTCATCATGTAGTGTTTGATTGTGTCATTGTCAGTGTTGGGAGTAACTGTATTTCCACTCAAATTACCCAAATTTAAATGGGCTCGTGGACAACTGCAAAGGGAAGACAAACACAGCTCGTCCGTGTGTATCCCCTTGATTTTCTGGTTTATAAACTAATGCCACCGACCGTACGTTGGACCAATACTTTTCAGTCTGATAGTCAATAATTATTTATTATCTAACTACTGAAGCAAAGCCTGGTTAACATTTACACCTGTGTGGTTCTTTCTTCTACCGAATCCTCCTGTCCATTAGCCAAGACAAGTGTAGCTTACAGGTAGAAACGCTACTTGTTGCTGCCCTCTGGTAGTTGACAGTATTAATAAATAGATATTCTGTTCTTGGCACACAACACTTAAATTAGGCCTGGATGAAGAATCATGCACCGTGGCTCTTGAAGCTCTCCACGTCTGTTCTGAACTTGTTGGAATATGTGTAAGAAGGTGTTGTACTGGCTGGTATACATATATACCAGCCATTTCCCACACTGGTTGTATAACACAAGGCTAGCTGTAGTCCCTTTATGCTGCTCACGAAACAGAAATATAATAGGATGGATTAATGTGTCATAAAAATACACGTTTACAAGGTGGAGTGCAGAGGAGGCTGCTAGGCTGAGCTGTGACTATACAGACAAATACAATCATAAACTGTCAAAATATATGTGTCTGTTATTTATTGATAGCCTGACTGTTTGGCTAGGTTATGCTAGTCAGTAATACATATTGCTAACTACCATAAAAAGGAGAAAAAACATTACCATTCTGTAGCAGACTGAGAGAACGATGTTGGTCCACCGGCAGGGCAGTGTCCTCTGACTCTGGGTCAGATTCTGGCTTTGGTGGCTCAAACATGAAGGATTGAGTAAATCCAATAAAGCTCTTCTCAGAGCAAAGAACAATGCTCATTTCCCCCCCATTTTTAAAACCTAATTTCATATACTTTTTTAAAAATCATTTAAATTTGGCAGGGTGGTTAATAACACTTTTTTCTTTGGTGTGACAAACTCAGAAATCATATTTATTATTACTTTATTTATTACGGACCAGTAAAATTAAGGCATAATTACCTATGAATAGCAACAACCCCTAATTGTTCTCTTCGTTTTATTGCAAAGAAATAGAAATACATTCTGAAAATGATCACATTTAATAAACTTTCTTTTTACAAAACATTAGAAACAACCTGAATTTTCTTAAGGAAAATAAGTGCAATTTCAACATAATATTAATTTCATTTACACATGTGCATTATAATTATTCCATATACAATTTAAAGATCAGTGGATGTGGATCTACAAAGCCACAGAACATTAAGTAACATGTACCTGGAACTGAACAATAATATCAGGGTAACTTTCTCTTACAGTTAATAATAATTAAAACAACTTGTCAAGATCTAGAAATTATTTAATTAATTATTTATTAGTACATACATTTTCACATCTGTGCAGTAATCCTGACCACCTGAACTGACTCACTGCAGCATACAAACTAAAGTGGGAGCTATTAGGAAAGGTTAAGTTATTCTACTTATCCTATTTTTATAAAGCTCCTCTAATCCGACGGAGCTTCACTTCACCTTCGGAGGCGTGTAGTGGATTCTGCACCTTTCCCTGAAGATCTGAACAAAAAGAAAGCAGGAATAAGTAAAATATAAAATAACGACACATCATTTATGTGTGACTGTGGGACTGTAATAAGCATACCTTCAGACTTCTGTCATTGACAACTTCTTCAACACTCAGCTCTGACTGCATAAGCTTTAACTGGAGACAAGGGAGGAAAATGCACAACTGTATGAATCACTTTCATCCAAATGCGGGATGTCTTTTAGTGAGTCTCGCAGCTGCAGATGGACTTAACTTGGCTGACTCACATCGTACAGCTTGGTTGTGTTTGGAGCCCTCTAGTGATAGAAACAGGACTTACTTTGGTCTGCTCCTTTCTGAGCTGTTTGATAAGTGCCAGGTTTTCGCTTTCTTTTGCTCTTTCTTCACACAGGTGTCCGACCACCTCAGATGTTTGGGCTATACAGGCCTTGATGGCTTTGTCTCTGCTCAGATGTGCCTCCATCATCTGTGGAACGCATGAGGTTGTTACTGGAGAGCAAAACAAAACCCCGACACACACACACAGACATTTGTTTCAGTCATGACTGTCACACTCACCGATTCATAGAGCTGTTTGCATGTTTGTGTGGCATCCACTTTGCCTGAGAAGGAGACTGTGGGCACGGTGGTGTTCAGGGCATGGACGATACGGTCATCTATGGTGCGCATCAAGTTATTCTACTTATCCTATTTTTATAAAGCTATAAAATGTATACATAAAAATACATGAAAGTTGTGGCAGTGCATGAACAACAGAGTTTCACCAAACCAAACTATTTTGTACTGCAGCTGCTGACAGAAGTAGGTTGACTCACTGATTAGTTTGCTAAGTTTAGTCTCCTTTTTGACAAAGTCATTTTGACAAATGAGTGTTATAAGAGGAATAGAGCAGCCTAACCTGTGTGTGGTAGAGCGAGAGAGAGAGAGAGAGAGCGGCGGTGAACGGCAGCAGAGCAGAGAAGTAAGTTATCAGGTCTAGCAGTAAATGTACAGTGTGAGTTACAGTTGTCTGTGAATAAAGTTCAATAAAGCATTGTGCTATGTTCAATACTCTGTCTTCTCTGTAATGTTCACACACCCCGCGGGCCGGAATGAACCCTCTGGCGGGCCGTAAGTTTGACGCCTCTGCAACCCCTTATTCTACATCCCAGGTCCCTCAGGTCGGCTGATTTAGGACTCCTGGCTGTCCTGTGTTCCGAACATCTGTTCTGATCTGTTGATCATTAACTAAAGATTATATCAAACATTAGTTGACTGTCAGCAGATCAATAGATTAGTTGCTGATTGTCAACTTACACAGTAAAATAACCTTTCATCACCTCAGTAGTCGAACACATCTCAACAGAAAGACAAACAGCATTAAAAATCTGTCAAATTGATTCATTTCACACATGCTGGACCCCATTTTTGCCTTCCACCCATACGTAACACAAAACAATATATGAATAGATACACATGGTCACATCCTTCCCTAACAGAACTAGTCCTGACCTCCCTGGGGCCCTAAGATAAATTCTGCTTTCCCTATTAAAGATGTCACAACAATGGTCTACACTCATTCCTGGTTGAACTTCATCAGTTCTTTTCATGTTGCAACCGTACTGACCAGAAATGCTCCACAAAAGCTGTTACAGAATATACAAACTAAATGAGGAAGTTCTGACCTCCTCGTTGAGATTAAGCAAGTTCTCTGACATGAAATGCAGGTAACTGAACATTTGCACGCTGTTGAACAATAACCAAACAATCAGGTTATTGTAACGACTGATTTGTGCACCAGGCCCAGACCGGCCTCCATCATCTGAAGCAAGCTTTGAAATTGAAGCATTAAATCTTGCTTGTTTAATCTGTATGATAACCAATGTATAAAAACGTCAAGTTGTGATTTTACAGGGAGGATACATGACAGACTCTTTTTTGGCTGGATGCAGTGACTTTCTAAAGTCATAAAGTCACTGCTGAGGTAGATTTATTTAACCTCTGAACAGCACTAGGCTAGCTGTTTCTTGCTGTTTTTAGTCTTTATGCTAAGCAAAATGAATCGACTTCGGTCTGCAGCTTCATATTTAACAGATACATTTGAAAGTGGTGCCAATTTTCTGATGAACCTGAATCTGAATTTCTTGCCACTATGGGGGAGTGAAAGAAGCTGTAACACCATATTAGCTTATTATCACTTTAGGAAGTTATTATGGCTAATTTGTTTGCTTCTTCTTCTTATAAGTCATGAACCTTATTGAGTCGATCTTTTGTTAATATAAAAGTATTATATTGTATTGTATTATACTGCAGCTGCTTTAAAGATGCACCAGATGATCAGAATTTGAATTACACAATCTGAAACAGGCAGTTTTTATGGAAGTGTCAGTGAAAGTTGGAATTTGGGGAATAAGGATGAGCAACGCTTATCACACATGTACTGCAGCTCACATTTTAGAGCCACCTTCCAGTCAGTATCCAGGGGTAGTTACACAGTATAAATAAAGTTGATAACAAGCTGAGAATTAACAGTTGAGACTCATAAAAGCAGACGTTGACTTCTCTGTTAACTTCAACGGACATTGTGACAATGGCTGACGGTTTGCTTGGAGCATGGTCCGATCCAAGGGAGCCTGACGGAGTTCAGGAGATTTGTGATCAGGTGAGCTTCAGAGCTTCTTCACAACCTCTAAACACGACTCTGCATGTGGTCTGTGTTTCAGTCTGTATTAACATCACATTTTATTTCATTCATACAGGTGAAGCCCCACCTGGAGCAAAAGACAAATAAGATATATATGGAAATCAGAGCAGTTGAATTCAGGAGCCAGATTGTGGCTGGAACAAACTTCCTCATCAAGGTAATTAATATTGTGATTATTTATCTTAAAGAAAGCCTCAGATATATGGACTGAATTGTGACATCCAGGTGAGTGATTAAACACTGCTCCTCACTGCTCAACAACACAAAATCAAGATTAATTTATTTAAGAGTCTAAAGTTCCTCTCTTTTTCCTGCAGGTTCATGTTGGAGGAGAAAAATATATTCATCTGTTTGTCTTCAGGGCACTTCCAAGCAATGGAGGTGGGATCGAGCTGCGTAAAGTACTGGAGGACCAAACCAAAGAAGAACCCCTCGTACCTTTCTAAAGTGATCACTTTTCTAAAATGCTCTGCTTCTGCTTTCTGAAATGATTCAACATAAAACTGCTTTACAATACATCATTTTGAATGTATTAACATAATACAATATTTGGTGTTTGGAAGAAGCTAATTAAATGTACCATTTTCTAAACAGATAATAAAGAAAGGCTATGTAGAAATTAGTCTATATGTCATTTTTATGTAACATTTGCTTTTCTTTTGTGAAGTCAGGTTTCTTAAATAGATGCTTGGTGGGAAAAGTGGTTACAAATAAATTAATCCCTTTAGTTTACACAAACCTTAACCTGGATACAGCTGTGATTATGTGTGTGATTCAAAAACCTCATGTTGTGAGTTCTGAGACCAGGAAACATTTTCCTATTGTAGGTAATTTCTGACAGGGACCTGGAGAGCGAACACAATGTCACCAAACAGGGAAACACACAGACAGAAAGTCCGGTCTACTTCCAGGAATTAAGCCAATACAGCTACAAAGAAGACTAATAGTGTGTGTGTATGAGTGTACAGCCGTGCTAGCAGCTCTGTGAGGCTATACTTGGGCACAGTGGTGCTCTGACAATCCTCAAAAGACTCAAATTATTTAAATAAAAAGACAACACATGTCACTTGAAAACATTTCATTGTCTTTTTAAAAAAAACCTTGTTTTGTACATGGATTCTCATTAAAGAAGAACACGGATGATTGTTGTTACAGCTGTGTCACAAGAGAGTCACAATGGAATATAAGTGTGTTGGACGAGAGGTCACAGTGGTCTAAAACGACCTGCAGACTGGACTCAGCAGCAGCAGCAGCTCACAGTTTCAGCTCCAGTCTGGATTTGAACCTTGAATGAAGCAGCTCCTCTAATCCGACGGAGCTTCACTTCACCTTCGGAGGCGTGTAGTGGATTCTGCACCTTTCCCTGAAGATCTGAACAAAAAGAAAGCAGGAATAAGTAAAATATAAGATAACGACACATCATTTATGTGTGACTGTGGGACTGTAATGAGCATACCTTCAGACTTCTGTCATTGACAACTTCTTCAACACTCAGCTCTGACTGCATAAGCTTTAACTGGAGACAAGGGAGGAAAAATGCACAACTGTATGAATCACTTTCATCCAAATGCGGATGTCTTTTAGTGAGTCTCGCAGCTGCAGATGGACTTAACTTGTCTGACTCACATCGTACAGCTTGGTTGTGTTTGGAGCCCTCTAGTGATAGAAACAGGACTTACTTTGGTCTGCTCCTTTCTGAGCTGTTTGATAAGTGCCAGGTTTTCGCTTTCTTTTGCTCTTTCTTCACGCAGGTGTCCGACCACCTCAGATGTTTGGGCTATACAGGCCTTGATGGCTTTGTCTCTGCTCAGATGTGCCTCCATCATCTGTGGAACGCATGAGGTTGTTACTGGAGAGCAAAACAAAACCCCGACACACACACACACAGACATTTGTTTCAGTCATGACTGTCACACTCACCGATTCATAGAGCTGTTTGCATGTTTGTGTGGCATCCACTTTGCCTGAGAAGGAGACTGTGGGCACGGTGGTGTTCAGGGCATGGACGATACGGTCATCTATGGTGCGCATCAACTTCAGCACCTCCTGATAAACACACAGTGGGGCAAAGACACAGTCAGCAGGTTCAGCTCAACTAACGCCAGCAAAGCAATGATGTGAATGTCACAAAAGTTTTTTAAATGGATCTCTGTAATCACACATAGCCAGACATCTTAGAAACAACATGTCTCCACATATTGGTGAAGCTGTACAAGATAAGTTAAAGTGAGTATCGAGATTGGTGCTGATGACTTTAAGGGGACTGTTTTCTGTCAGCACCTCCACACAGATTCACTCCATGAGCCGTGCAGAGAAGACATAAAAAATCTTTAAGAGGCATAACTTGTGCACAAATAAAGGCACCAACAAGAGATTGGCTCATTAATGCATGTTACTAACTTCACTTCTTCCCTGGAGTTCTTGTGCTTTCTCGTCTCGCAGGTTCTAATGGATCCTGGTGGAGCCTCCTGCCATGGTCCTGCTAGATTGCCATTGCCAATACTGTTGTTACTGTGCACCTGTCTGTCTGCCTGTCTCTCTCTCTCTCTCTCTTTCACCCCAACTGGTTGAGACAGACGACCACCCACCTAGAGCCGAAGGATCTGTCCTAGGTTTCTTTAACAGGCAGTGTTTCCTTGCCCTTGTCTCCAAGGTCTTGCTCATGGTGGTACTGTTGGGTCTCTGTAAATAATGTTTTAAAGAGTTCGGTCTAGACCTACTCTATTTGAAAAGTGTCCTGAGATAACTTCTGTTATGAATTGGCACTATACAAATAAAACTGAATTGAATTGAATTGAATAATTGCCAATATCTGTAGTTGTTGTAGTTGTTCATACAGAAGGTGAAAACAGTGGACCTGAACCCGCATAACAAGAGTTGTGAGCAAACACTAAAAAATAGACCAGTTTAGATTTAGTTTTGACGCTGAACGTCTCTCGGGAAGACTCTTAAATCAACTTGAAGGTGTTGTCTCGGTATGTTTGCTGTTCTGAGTCCAGAGTGGCTCCTTGAACTCTCGTAGAGCTCACACAGAGACACACAGAGACACACACAGAGCACACACACAGAGACACACAGAGACACACAAGAGACACACAGAGACACACAGAGACACACAGAGACACACACAGAGACACACACAGAGACACACACAGAGACACACACACAGAGACACACAGAGACACACACACAGAGACACACAGAGACACACACAGAGACACACACAGAGACACACAGAGACACACAGAGACACACACAGAGACACACAGAGAGACACACAGAGACACACACAGAGACACACACAGAGACACACACAGACACACACAGAGAGACACACAGAGACACACACACAGAGACACACACAGAGACACACAGAGACACACACAGAGACACACACAGAGACACACACAGAGACACACACAGAGACACACACAGAACACACAAGAACACACAGAGACACACAAGAGAACACAAGAACACACAACACAAAAAAGAGACACACAAGACACACACAGAGACACACAGAGACACACGGAACATAACCGACACGATGAGTGAACTACCGGCGGGGTCCGCTTCGGAGGGCTGACAGCCCGGGACAAGTGATCACAGATCGATAAACCCTCCGTTACAATTACCTGAAACATTGAGAAGTCCTCACAGTTTAAGTTTCCACCGGGCGCCGCCATAGTGGACTGCTGTGGGGGTCCTCTCCTGAAACAACAACGCGAGGTGACCGTTCAAGAGAGTGCCTGAGTGAAACTCACCTCGGCCGAGCTAGATGTAAAAACCACATGACGTTATATGACTCACGTTGTTTATTTATATTTAAATAAAACGTACCAGCTGTCGAATCAGATACAGAACAGTTACATAACTTGGGATAAAATACTGTGTCAAAGTCTGAGCCCTATCGATTTTTATTTAACCCCTACTTTAACCTAACCCTAACCCCAACCGGCCGTCTTTAAGGTGCCTGACCATAAAGAAACCATAACACGACGCAAAAACTCATGAACTATTATTCCCAAGAGTCAACAAGCCACCGAGAGAAGACGCGTATTCTGGTTTTGATCAGGCATTCAGCGCAGGCGCCAGTGCTTATGTGACGGGGTCCTGCAGGGCCGTTGACATTCAGCAGCTGACGGCGGAGCGACGCGGTGTCACTGATCGATATCGGTGATCGGTTGTACCTATCAGGTGGTACCGTGTTTATTTTAACAGTTAATAAAACATGAATTTCGTCAGATCTCGTCTTTTCGGTGGAAACTTTATCGGTTCGTATCGTTCCGCTCCTTTAATCTGTTTTAATAACATGTAACCGTCTCCGGTTGTAAACGAGCTCAGTCTTTAAATTAACAGCTGGAAATTGTAATAATCTTAAATATTAAGGTGCCAGGTGAATATATGTGATGTTATATATGATATGATATGCTGTTTGTTGTTTGATTGTTAACCTTATTGTACGTGCGTGACTCGACAGATAACACTTAAAGCTGTTGTGTTGATTGTTTCCTAAATTCCCTGTATTGTGAAATTTGTAGTTCGTGTTCAAGTTCAATCATCCCATAAAAATGTCTCACTAAAATACTTTGGGTTTTTATCATTATACGATACCCCTTGGCTTCGTTAAGCTGACACACCTCTGTTTACTGTGAAGGTGGCTCTGTCCTAATGCTTTTACCTTCATGTGTTAGACGCATCTTGTGAGTACTTATTTGAGTAAAATTGGTTGTTGTGAGATTTTGGCTTGAATCAAGTGTCAGAAAAGCAAAAGCTGACAAGTATTGTGCAGTTCCAGCCATTCAGTTGTGATGATTTGCTGTTTTTCTTTGTCTTTTGTGATAGGAAATGGATCTAATTGAACTCTTCAGAAGGTCACATCACGTTTCTGACTTTGTATAGAGCAAATGATTGAGAAAATACTCAGCAGGTATTTTTTTGCATTTGTTTTAATATGCCAACAGGTCAGAGGTGCAGACAGGTCTCTGAAACATGGAGCCACAGAGGGATGTGCGATAAACCACAGGTCAAAGCAGAGCCTTCTCCACCTGCAGCTCCAGCACAAGGTAGAGAGATTTTGATCACAGGCAACCAGATTCTCTTGTTTTCTTTGTCTCATACATGCACAACACCACAAACCAAGATCCAGTTTCTTCCGCATTAATTTACCACCACTCATTTACTCTTAATAATAATAATAAGAATAATGGGAAGCTGATGGCTCAAACAAACCTGGTGCGACACTATAACATTACATCCAAATTCATCATTCGACTATTTATAGTTGTTTTTCTCAGAACAAGTCAGAGAGATGAAACCTCTCCATATTGATTGCCAGAGGATTTTGTACATCTCAGGTCACTTGTTGCCATAGCAAGTGTGTGAAAGTTTTCTTTAGTCCCAAAGGGAGGAGGGACACAGGAAGTGGGACCACAGTCTGGGGTGATGGAGCTAATGAGTGGGGCTTGTGAAACTGAACTTCCCTGCATTCTCTGTTTGTTTGTTTTTTTTTGTTCAAGATGTGGGCTTAATGCTCTGTTTGTTTGTTCTTTAATATAGCAACTCGTGCTGGTTTCAGAGTCCCAGGCTACCGACCCTCAGAGATGGACAAGAAGATTCTGGTGTGGTCGGGACGCTTTAAGACATTGGACCAGATACCAGAGCTTGTGTCGTAAGTAGCCTCTTCCTGTTTACACCAGACCTCCCAGTACACTCGCATCTGATTGGCTCTTTGCGAGATTTAGTTAAGATACATCAGAAGGCGCAGAGCTAACTTAAGTGCATGAATAACAGCGCTGCTGCGGGTAGATGATGTTCCAAGACGGCTGCAGTTCAAACAAGGCGTCTGTTTGTGAGTGAAGGTAATTAATGTGGTTCCTAACATCAGGGTGGAGATCGTATCTGATCTGCTGCTGTGATAAAAGACCTGATTGTCACGTATACAAACTGCAGACCTTCCACCTCCTGCACTCGCAATAATTGAACCAAAAGAAAATGATATATATTTAATTATGTTGTAGTCAATGTTGACAGAATGGACTGAGAGAAGCACGCATAGCTGTTGGTGATTGCTGACATTAATGGCATCGTATGAAGGAACACTTTTATTAGTGTGCTGAACAAACCTACACGTTGTTGGTGAACCATGTCTCTACCAAGTGTGTTAGAATATTGTTTTTTTTAAAGCATTTCTATATCTAGCTACACTGAATTTTGTTTGTACACCTGCCTTACCCACAGGTTTGAGATGATTGATGCTGCCAGAAACAGAATCAGGGTGAAAGCCTGCTACGTAATGATTGGCATCACAATAGGGTCGTGTCTGGTGATGGTCATCCTGGGAAAGCGGGTGAGCGACAATAGATGACCGCATTATGTTTGCATGCAGTTTTTCTCCAGTATCAGTTTACACGGAGGGAAGTTATCGTTCACAACAATGTGAAAGAGATGTTTTTTCTCAGTATTTTTGCTTGTAGCTTTGTTTTAGTTGACTCTTAATTTAACCATTTTGTTCTACACAGAAACATCAACATGTTACTCCTGTGTCTTATGTATTTCAGGGCAAATATGAATATGTGGTACATCTGTAATTTGTCTCCTTGTGTTGTAGGCTGCAGGCAGGCACGAGTCCCTGACAGGTCAAAACATGGAGAAGAAAGCTAAATGGAGGGAAGAACTAATTAAAGAGAGGGAAGCTGCTCTTACCCTGTCCGAGAAGGCTCAGTGATGAAGGACAACTAATACCTACCCAACCGTGTCGTTATCCCCCAAATGTTGGGCCAATGATGTCCCAATAATGCTATATGTATCACAACCTCAGAGCTCTCCCTTTCCATCCTACAGACCGTTCAGAAGATATTAGAGCAGTTCATACTTAGTAGCACTTTTGAAACCTGGAGATTGACTTCAATGATTACAACAACAACCATTGATTATTTAACCATCTGAAACCCAATGTAAGGTTTTATCTTTTCAGGGAATGTATCGAGGTTATAAACTGGCACCTTTTTCACTAAAAATGGTTGTGGCGGTAGCATGTGGTCACCAGAGGAGAGTGGAAACCTGATTATGATGTAAGCTGGGTACTCTTAATAGAGGTTTTGGGGTTTTTATAACATTCTTTGCATTTACTACACAGCCAAATAATGATTTTCAGATAAAAAATCTGAACCGACACATTGATTTCCAGCTCTGAAATGCCTTAGGTAGCCCTCTGTTTTTAAACGTGCCTCTGAGGCAACAATCTTTTGCGTTTATCTGCCTTCTGAAGACTGATCTCCAATTTCCTTAAGAGAACGTCACAAAGTGGATCAGACATGCTCAATCTGTACAATAGTCTGTCCTGATACTCATGTAATTAAGACTGGTTTGTTCATGACTGATGTAACATCTCTGTATGTTTGTATATAGTGAGCACCAAAAAATAGAAGTTCAATAAAAGTTCAAGTTCAAGCTTCTTGAGAATTCCTGTCTGATTTAATGACCTGATCTGGTTTCATATAAACTGCAAGTCTAAAGGTCTAAGTAATTTTTCACTCTTCATGGATCAAATGATTAATTGAGAAAATACACAGAATTACTACCATTTCTTTAGTTGTACAGCAGTAATTTGATGGAAGGAAATACTTCACCCTGTATACTAACTACAATGAAACTGATTCACTTACACTGTGGTTCATGAAACAGCTTTTATGCAAATGGCATAACAGGGGACAGCTGCACAAACTCAGTACAACAAACAGTAATTAACATGTAGAGCTGGTCATCTCTTGCAGAGATTTTGACAAAAAGTAAGCAATGTAAAGAGGACTTGGTAAACAAACATTCAGTTCTGCTAACTAAGGTGATCACCAGCATTTTCAAGTTTTAATCTGGATTTTTGTTGAAATTATGTGGAAGGATTTCTATAGAATAAAGATTATGGCACCATCAGCAACATGACAGATGCTATCCCCAACTAAAAAACATTATGTATTTAAAAAGAAACTTAAGACCCAATAGCTGATATATGTGGTGATGATTTGGCATGATCAAATTGTAAAATACCTCCTGAACAAGTGTTGGAAAGTCATGTTTTAGACTCACAGCTAAACATCCAATTTTCCAAATGACTTTCATTTACTTTGTGACAATAAAATTCTGCTGAGGCAGCATGATCAACTGATTGTTAATTAGTGTGCTAACAGTTTCAGTCCACAATCTGCTAGAGTCCCTTTGTGGGAAGGGTAAACAGTGAAGTACATTGTAATCCTTGTCATACCAAGAGGGGACCAAGGATTGAGACCATACCTCTTTACGCCTCGCTTCCTGAGGAGGGAAGCGCTGTGTCATCAACCAATTAAATAGTTAATGTAAAAACTACAGTATATTCTCGAAGAGCAGGCGTCAGTCCTCAACTAAAGTGCTGCAAATGAAATGAAATTATGGTAAGATAATAAAAATTCCCCCTGGTCTGCCGCTAGACAGATTTCAGGGTTAAATAGTCTGTTTTGTCTTGTCCAAGTCTGTCCAATTGTCTCAGTGCGAGGGAAGACTCCAATTCCCATGGTTCCACGGGGTTATTCACATCACACCGGAGGCGGGAGGCAGTCTAAACTCTTCAGGATGGAGCCTGTGCTGGTGGAAAGGCCCGTTACTGGATGAAGGAATGCATGATATGAGATCCAAGAGGGAACGCAAGCAGCCTGGTTTATCACTGACAAGCTCCACCCCTCAGCGACACAGTCAAGTTACTAATTTGTCCATCTGTGGTCACTTGTCCAATGGCCCGGTGAGAGGAGGTGAGGGAATTCAACCTCCATTTTTGAGTCGATTAAGTGCCTTTTGCAGAGGTCAGTTGAGTCCTTGGGTTGGGACTGGCCATGGTGCCCCGCTGTGGGCAGTTCAGTCCAAAGACCACAGTCAAATGTCTCAATAGTCAGTCCAGTGTTTAGGTTAGATCATTCTTCTTCTTGTGTGTGTGTGTGTGTGTGTGTGTGTGTGTGTGTATGTGTGTGTGTGGTGTGTGTGTGTGTGGAAAGGGGGTATAAATCACGTCCATGTTTGTCTGTCTTGCGAGTCATTAATGCTTTAATCAGACAAGCAGTCAGTCCTACAAACTCCCGCTTAAATCAGGGATAGGGATCGTCAAATCCTACTGGAACATGGGTAGGTGCTTTTTATTTGGGATGAGCCGAGGAGGAGATCCAAAAAAGTAAGACTGGGGTGGTGTTACAGGTACAGTCTGCTAGTAGGAGACGGCTGGGGCCTGGGCAGGTACGCAGGGACAGAATGATGAGTGAAACCTTCACAAACTGGCTGACAAGACTGCAGAACTTGACCCACATTGGACGTACGCACACACGTGCTCCCGTAATGTTACATTTTTCATAATCATGATAATGATTAAATCAACCTCTCTGACGATGAGAAGGGAAAAAGAGGAGGGGAGCCGAGGGTCGTCGTGACCCCTTGATCGTGGCAGTGGGCAGAGAGTGAGAGAAATGAGCAGAGGTGAAGATGAAGGTGGAGCACGGAGGAAGGGAGGATTTAGCATTATAGCTGGAAGCCTTCCATCGGGGCCTCACACTGCTGGAAGAGGAACTGCTGCTGCTGCAGATCGACGGCGGGAGCCAGAGACGGGTCCTCGTCTTCAGTGTTAAAGTAGCGCTCGATCAAGTCGAAGGCTTTCTGGTAGATTTCCTGGTTCTCGTGGCCCTGCAGGAACTCCAACTTGTCCAGACCTGAGAAGGATGTAGTGCTAGAATGGTTAGTCTACTGACAAATAATTAACTGCCAGCAATTAAAGTAACTAATTTTGTCTTAAAATTGCTTTCCAGCCTCTGAAATGTGAGGATTTGCTGGTTTTCTCTGGTTTTATATCACTGTAAATCTTTGGATTTTGTAACAGTGATGTCACCTTGGCCTCTGGGAGACTGTAATAGGCTTTAAAAAATATTTTCAGACATTTTCTGGAATTCAGGATTAATCAGTTAATTGAAAAAGTGGTGCGGTTAATTCAGGATAAAGCTGGACTTCTAAAGGCTTCACAGCCTTCAGAAAAGTTAACACGACAAGGTTCCTCATTGCATAAATCTTTGCAAAGTCCACCTAAAAGCTATCTTTCTAATAAGTATAATAATAAGAGCTAGTCAACAATGTAAACAAATGTGTAAAACAACGTGTCTTTAGTATGTTCATGTTACCTACATCATATATAGTAGAGGAAAAAATTGAAATATACTAAAAAAGTACTGAAATATACTATGTATATGCATTATTTACCAAGATAAATATGTTTGGATCAAGTGGGTACATTTAGAATTGCTTTAATATAAACACATCATTTGAATCATGTATGCTTGTACACTCACCGTAGGCCTCTTCAATGAGTGCACAGTAAGGGTTGATGCCACCTCCCCTCTTGGCCTCCAGTTCTCCCAGTCTCAGGATGTTCTCCAGGCCATTTAGAGCCACCTGAACTATTTTGGAGTCCATAAGTGTGAGCAGGTCACACAGAGGTTTTATACAGCCAAGATCCACTAGGTGCCTGCAGGGGGCAGTACACACACACACACACACACACACACACACACACACACACACACACACACACACACACACACACACACACACACACACACACACACACACACACACACACACACACACACACAGATCAGGGAACATCATTTTTATTAATTTACTAACTAATCGTCTTAACAGTGGATGCAATGCATAATCAATAAACCACAAATCCATCGAAAGATAAAACTACACCAGCTAAAGGAAGGTCACCCTACTGCCTTAAAGGATTTATGCCAGTGTAATTAGGAGTATTGATTAGTTCTTATTGTCCTCCCATAATCTTGCAACACATGCTGTATGTTTTTTGATTTATTTTTTAACATTTATTCATTTGAGTCAGTTTTAAAATACAAACTTTAGAGCTTTAAAGCCACTGCCACAGAGCTAGGATATACTTTTATAAGCATTAATTCTGACTGTTAATGCTGTTTTATATCTGCTCTTAGTTAGTTCTTAGTTCAATGGATGTGAGACCTTATATATAGCTCTGTATACACTGGTCGGATGCTACGCTTAACTGCATCAGTGATCTTACCTAATTTGCTCTGCAGAGCCCCCCGAGGTGGCATTGGTGATGGCCCAGGCCGCCTCCTTCCTTGTGCGAAATTCTGCTACCTGCAGGATAGTGATGAGAGGAGGCAGCAGACCTGCATCTATCACCATCTACAAAGAAGGAAAAACTTGATTAGACAAGGAAATGCTCCTGTCAACTTTTCAAACCTCTGTACCAAAACCCTCTTTGGGTTATTCTATGGGACGCCCCACCGGCATAAACACACACATCTACCTGTATTTGTGCTCGGTTCCCTGCGGTGATGTTTGAAATCGTCCAGCAGGCTTCCTTCTTAATAGACTCCTTGGGGCTACTGAGGAGGTGAAGTAGGGACTGCAGTGCTGAACAGTTCAAAATCACCTAGGTAATCACACAAATTACACACAAAGTCAGAAATATTCATCTGTAAGTATTCAATTACCCTCTGGATAAGTATTACGTGTGTCTGTGTACATGCTGCCATTACCTGTGTCTGTAGATCATCTCCAGTGACTATGTTCCCAACAGCTCGCAGTGCAGGAGATACCACCTTATAATCAGAGTGCCTGGAACAAAGTGGATTTGTAACGTACGATCACTCAGATGTTGTTTCCAATGCTTCAAACTGATATGAAAACGATCGCCCTCTAGTTTCATGACAGCAGGAGAACATGTTAAATCTTTCCTTCTGCTGTAGCGACAGTGAGTTTATGGAATTTTCCACATGGAAATACTATAAGGACTTTTTGAAGTGTATTCTCTCCTGACATTTGCAGTTAGTAATGCATTAGTCAAACTCAAATGCTGTCTGAGAATTTTCACAACACACCCACATCTGGATTGTCACACCCAATGTAGTGGTGATAAATGGTTCACATGGGACATTCTGTTACTGCCAGAGTGAAAACCAACAATACATATCTCAGTTGTGTAATACTTCAGAATTGTAAGTATACAGTGTGTGTTTAAAGCCTTACATCAGTAACTCCACCAGCCTGCGACAGACTCCGGAATCAATAACAGCCTGGATTTTGTCATTGGGGCCATCAGATAGGTAGGAGAGTGCCCAGCATGCATCAGCCAGAATGTCTGTGTCATTGACGAACAGCAGCCAAGACAACACACTGAGACACGGGGACACCTGGGGAAAAAGAAATGTGGTGGGAGGGGAACATATTCAGTGGGAGTGACTGTTTCCCAGGTTAAATATAAGCAACTCAATACAGTTTGTGACCTTGAAATGAGAGATATGATGTACTTCAGCAATGTGAGAGGTTTGCTGTTGCCATAGTGATATGTTTATCTTGGCAAATTACCTTAGTGAAGTCCGGAGGTGGGTTCTTTCCTCTGCACAGGTTTGAGAGCGCCCACACTGCATTCCTCATCATCGTTAGACGATTCTGTTTGGCCAACAACCTGCAAGAGTTTCACCAAGCATGCTTTACTGAGGATGCAGGGGCAAAGTTGCTCTTTATTTTCAAGCGTGATAAAAAGATTCAGGAGGAAGGCAATGTGAGTTGCTACTTACTGCACCAGGGAAGGCAGGATGTTGCAGTCTATGACAAAGTCTCTGCATTCTGTGCTATCTCCTGCTATGTTTCCCAAGGCCCACACTGCCTGAGGGGCAAAGCAATTATTCAGGTCAGTCGATAAACAACATTACATTGTATTCAATGACAAGACTATGTTTTATTCAACCAGGCAGGTTAACTACATATATGTTGTTTTTTATATAAAATTTGTAATGGGGAAATGAAATCAGAAAGGTTTATGTGACTGTCAGCGATGTCTGAATCCTCCCTACCTGTTCCTGTACGTCCTCAAAATCTGAGCTGAGCATCTCGATGAAAATAGGTACAGCTCCTGCCTGGATCACCACCCGAGTCTGGTGGGATGTACCTGATGCGATGTTGGTCAACACCCATGCAGCCTCAAACTAAAACAATAGTCAAAATGTATTACATACTGATCTCTCAGGTTAGATTTAAACTGTTAAACATGTTACATTTTCTTTACCTGCACCACACACAACACATACATACATACAGTATTTGACATTCACTGTTAGGGCAGGAAGAGTTCACAATAAACAAAAACACAACAAGAAAAATAAAGCGACTTCGAGCCTCCCCAGCTTAGTCAGCTTGTGCACACCTGCACTGTTAGTAAGACATACTGAGGAAATGTACCTGCAATGTGCAGTTTTCTCTCCTCTTCAGGAACTCAACAAAGCGCTCCACCACCCCGGCAGTGGCAATGACTTCATTGATGGGTGGGTTAGGTTCTGTGTAAATAAATATTATTATTACTATTATTGTTATTATGATAGCAACACCTACCATAGCATTATCTTGATACCAATAGATTAAAATATTTACTCATGTATTTAAAATGAATTCATTGTCAGATTGAATATGAGGTAAAAATAAGTATTTTATTGTTGCGTCTGTTATGTTGTTGTTCTTTTTTTGAGACTAGTTTTATTGAAGAAAACTGCCTGTTTAACAGATTGACCTTGTTTATATAATGCATCAATGTATAATAACCAAGTTCCCTTGTAAAATATGTAGCCACTGTCATTAACAGAGGAAGAAAATATCCATCTATGACACCCTCACCTTTAGAAAGGAGTTTCCTAAAGCGCTGAGTGCCTATTAGCTGCTGCTCAGGAGAGCTGGAGAATATCATCTGAGTCATATCTTCAGAGATCACCCCACCCTGTGAAGCACAAACATTCAGATTTTATAAAAGCCAGACAAAATGCTGTCACATCTGAATTCACACATACAGTGAATGTAGATTGATAGCAGGATTGTTTATGTTGGTATCACCAACTGGTTGGATGAATGTTTCTCTTCTTACCGTAAGTGGGTCCATGTTGTTAGCCTGGGACTCCAGGTAGCCGCTATCAGCCATCCCATCATCCTCTGGGATGCCATCATCCTCCACTGTGGCAACATTCCTCCTCTTAAAAAGCTGTAATAGAATAATAATAATAATAATAAATTACTTTGTATGATTACATATATTATCTCTTCATTATTACATTGCTATGAACACAACAGGGGTTCAAGTTCACACCCTTATAGGAGATAATTGTCATTATCATTAACACTGTTTATGTCTGACAGTGATCTGTAAAGTGCGGTTACAATTAATTTAATTTACCTCAAAGACTATTCTACCTCCACAAGAAAGCTTATTAAAACTCATCCTCTGCTGAGGAGGTCTAAATGACTTCCTCCATACTTGGCTCACCTGTTCATCCTTCTTCTGTTTGCGGAGCTGTAGTCCTTCCTCTTCCCTCCTTCTTCTCATTTCATCTGTGTTGAGGGACTTGTTCTTGTAGCTCTTGAGTCGTGCATTGTCCTTACCCTGACTCATTGTGCAGCCTAGGGAGATACAGAAATACATGTTATGTAGACAGACTTGAATAAGGCTGGGACGAAAACCTCTTAACTTCCAAATTTGGCAAAACCCCCCATTATATCTCACACCACCAGCTGGACAAACATTTATACATGTATGTTATGTATGTTATGTATGTTATGTAAAGCCAAAGTAGCAGAGTTAGCAGTGAGTAGGGCACCATTCACCAGGTTTGTGTCAAATATAAAGATTACCGAGACAATCACACACTACGTTGATATCTAAACTTCAAATGTAGTTTACATAACTAAATAGGGCATCACTCCTCTCAGCAGTCAGAGTCCAACCAATGGGGGCATCTAAGGATACTAAGTTAGCTAGCTGGCTTATGTATCTTTAACACTGCGTGGTGATTAACAAGCAGCCAAACACATATTATTGTCTGATGATCACCCTAATCGATTCACAAATCCACAAAAAAACACAAAACGATATAAAACCAACAAAGAGCGGGTCCACAGGAAGGACTACACTAATGCCCCAGCCGCTGTTAGCACAATACAGCTAACAGCCGAGAGCTGGCTAACGGAGGCTAGCTGAATTAGCTAACGTTAGCTCTCTAATGCCACCTTAACGTCAGCTCATGCGACAGCCTGATATTTTCCAAATGTCGCCGACATCAAGAGTTAAAATACCTTCTGATAATAACGCGTGTACACACAGAGACTCCTTAAAAAACATGTAATTACTATTAACCGACCTGTCAAATTGGGCTCTTAATCCCCTTATTCGCAAGGCCACCGTTTGTAGAGCCGTCGCCGGTATGATACTGCGCATGCGTGGTATGAAACGCAACCCCCCCCCCACCTACACACACACACACACACACACACTTCCCCCCGCACTTATTTACACTCCGCCCCACCCACGTGACGCTGCTGCTTTGTAAATAACTAGAAAAACAAGCCCTCCACTGTCCACATGAAGCGTCCCGAACACCCAGTGTGAAAGAGGAATACACAGACAACATGTTTGTCAACACATATTTGAGTAAAAAGCAGTTTAACAACACTGCGGTGGGTGCACGCCTTCTTCCGACGCACAGCCGCAGTGGGGTGAACGCGCAGCACGCAGCTCCATAAACGACCTGTGCGCCGGCGATAACAAAGTTGGAGACATTCAAAAAAAGAGCACCGTGGTCGAGGACGCTTGAATGCATCCGTCGGCCCCTCAGTTCTGTTGATGAGCACTGTGTGGTGTGAGTTTCGGTGTTGTGTGAAAGTTGTATGAACCATGAACAATGATACTGTTTAAGTGCCAGCGGTCAGCCCATTAGGTGGGCGCGTCCGTGCAGATAAACAACAAACACACATCATATGAGAGGGGCCCAGCACTGTGAATCTTTTTATTGATTATAATACACAAGGTTGTATTAAGGGACGTTTGCAGTCCCTTCATGTTACACAGAAAAACAATAACATAGGAAATGAGCAAAATAAAATAATTATTTATATACATATGCGTATACACCCAGGAAATAATTATGTATTGCTTCTTTTGAATATACATCCGGGGGAATGTTATATATAATAATTATATTATAATAATGTTGTATAATAATTACCATAATAATCATGATTCTCAAATATCACACACGTTTTTTTTCAGTAGCCTATGTTGAAAACTATTCAGACATATAGTAGATCTATATTTATATATTTATGTAGCACATTTCATTGTTTATACTGGGGGGACTGCTTTATAGGTGAATTAAAATAGGAAAGAAAATACAGTAATGGCACATATGAAAGCATCCTCGTAGGCACATAACTTATATTTCTGCATAATTATAATTATACATCTAAATTCCTACATAAAATCATACAATAGTCTTGGATTGTGTGTGTGTGTGTGTGTGTGTGTGTGTGTGTGTGTGTGTGTGTGTGAGGGTGGGGACGGTGTCAGGTCAGGTTTTTACTATTGCTTACAATCAAGAGTAAAATAATGCATTAACTCACTCTGACCCTCCTGCTTGACCCCTGGGCACTTAAAGCACAACAGGTGCACTGTCTGGAAAGTTTAGTGTGTTACAAAAAAAGCATCTCAATCTCAAACGGCACACGACCATGATCCAGCCTAAAGGCCCCTGAGATGAAAGAAAACCCCAAACTGCACAATATGCCCCCTTTTTTCTGCAGACACAGGTGCCACCGATCTGTCTACAGCCTATAGGATCGAAACACTGTTGCACTTTAAAGCCGTTTCAGACGCCTACAAATATGAGATGCTCCAAGGCAAAACGCAAATTATTCCTCCAAAAATGACAACAATGCAAAGACAAGTCGGGGTCCGGAGCTCCCTCCTCTCTGACGGGGACTGCTTCGACATGTGGCACGACTACATGAACCTGGGAAGACTCATGGAGAGGCTGTGCGACAGGCGAGACAGGGACCACGGAGACACCGAGGGGCCCAAGAAAGAAGCAGCAGCGGCTCCGTGGAGCCACATCCAAACCTCTCGGCGAGAGGACTTCAAGAACTCCCCAGGGACCAGTTCAGTCAGCAGCCTGTCGGACACCAGCTGCAGCGGGACCCCTTCATACTTCTGCCGCTTCTGTAAGCAGAACGGGGAATCTGTGAGGGTGTACCGGTCACACAGGCTGAAGTCAGACGACGGGAAAGTCACCTGCCCCATCCTCTGGAACTACACCTGTCCTATCTGTGCAGCCACCGGGGACCACGCTCACACACGCCGGTACTGCCCGCAGGCGCAGCGGCAGGACGCTGCGAGGAAGCTTCCAGGGTCCAGGTTCTGGTAGCTGATAAGACACTGAGAGACTGAGGACACTGAAAAGACTGTACATAATTACCAAGAACTGTTTTGGTCATGTGTTCATGTTTACACAAACTGTTGTAGGTTCCCAAAGTGTTTGAAATATTTCATGTTTGACATGTTTGCATTAATATTACTGTCATTCTGCTGCAGACAGTCTGCTGTTCAGAGGGTACATAGTTTCATCATCAACCTGTCCAGCGTTAAAAAAAAATGTTTTAAAACATGTTATCAAACCTTTGAAAACTTAAGTGTCAAAAACTGACATTTTGGAAACCGCAAAACTAAAACTGTCTTCTTGTACATCAAAAATAAATATGGTAAATGTTTGCAGGCCTTGTGTTTTCTTGTGGTTTCTTTTGAAATTGAAACCAGTTTGGTTTCTGTTGATAGGTTGTTGGACTCTATAGAAAATATATACATTTTCAAAAAGTATATTCTCTGAATGTTACAAAATGTATCCTGGATATTAATACTATTATGAAGTCTACATATATGGAGACTTGTTGTTCATATCAAAATTTTAACCAGTTGATTCATGCTAGAAATCTTTAATTTTAAATGCAAATTCAAACCATCCTGCTATGTGGCTATCAAGTATCTTTAAAGTAGACCTAACTTCTAAATAAATGAACAAAAAGCACATTTTGTTTGCAAATGTGGTGAAGCAGAAGTAGCTTATGATTGAAAAAAATCAACTTACCACTGAAAATATAAATAGTAAATGTACTACAGATTTATTTGGAGTTTGAGGTAATATGTATAAATACAGTAGTAAGTACAGAGTCATAACTTTAATACTAATAGCAAAAGGAGCAAGTCAGCATTTCATTACTCACTAATTCATACTCATAAAACAGCAAACTCTGGTCCCACAAACTGCTTTGACCAGGTGATAAATTGTTGTTATTAAACAGGTGATGGTGTATGAATAATGACCCCTTGTAGACAGAGAGAGAGAGAGAGAGAGAGAGAGAGAGAGAGAGAGAGATCTTATTGGATTCTTTTAACTGTTACTTCAGTGCGTGGGATGCATTTTAATGTTGTAGCTATCTGAGGAGGAGTAGTTTAACAATAACAATGTGACATATTCTATGTGGTCGTCATATGTTTTATATGTAAATTCCTCATCTGGGACGAAACCATAAACTGGAGTAAAAAGAAGAAGAACACTTGATTTAGTAACGTTCCACCACTGAAATTATATATAATGTTGCACAATTGAGAACATGAAATAAACTTGAGTAACCACGGTTAGATAAAAAATACAGTTGGGTCCTTACTCATATAACATTGCAAGATCAGCAGACATTAGTGAAACAAAAGGAGTACTTTTTTAAGTGTCCTTAATGTAATAGGAGTAGGAGAGTTACATACATGGGTGGAAGAAGTATTCAGATCTATTAGTTCAGTAGTCAAACTTTACTTCTACAGTGTCTGCTTGTCTTATAATCCGCATGACCTCGGGGTTTGTTTACTCTCCTATAACTCATTGTTATAAACATGTTATTGGCTGCAGAAGCAGTGTGTATTTTCAGGTATAGACCCTGAACTCCCCAGCACCTTGTCCATAGTCAAAGTTGTGATACATAACTTTGGTCACACCTACTGGGCCACAAACTGATGTGATTGGTTGATAAAGACCTGTTACCAAACACATCACTACAGGGACAAAGTCTTGCTTTTCTAAATGTTTATAATTATGAAACTTATGAAGCAGAGAATCATTAATCTTAAGTCATGTGATTTTATTTCTTTTCACTGATTAACAGATTCATTTTGTCCATCATTTGAAAACAAAGGGCAGCCTGCGAACTCTGGTTATGTAAGTTCAAACATGTACACGTGCTGATGGATCATAAAAGCCTCGCAGTTACACAAGCGGCTCCTTTTAATGCAATAAAAGCGACTCCTCAGCAGCAGTCTTTGTGTCACTTTCATCCAGAACGCACAATAAACGGTAGGTCATAAGCTTCTTCATTCATGCTAATATTGATGCCAACTTATCGTGTGTTAATTTATTTTCCTTGTGTTTTTTAGATTGACCACAATGGCAAAACACAACATTAGCCTTTTGGTTGCCATAGTGCTGGGACTGATCTTTTTCATTATCACTATGGCATTGACTGCTCTGGCAGCGCCGGGAATATGTAAGTTTAACTGCTTCATTTATATTTTATTACTTTATTATAATTTGTAATATAAGATTCAGTTATCATTTGACTTTTCAAGTGTGTAAAAATAAATTTTTACAATAATTACGGATGTGCACTGTATCCGTTCAGCGCTGTTGTTTTGTGTCCCCCCAGATCCATTTTTGGCGTCCACTGGTAATATTTCAGATGAGTTTGTAACCGAGATCACACCATCAGGATGGACCTTCACTATTTGGTCGATCATTTACATCTTTTTGGCTTTAGTGGTGGTCTATGTCCTCTCCGGCATCTTTAGGAAGTATGTACATTGTTCCTATGCATCAATAAAGGTTATCTGTCTCCTACGTTGTATATTATATGCTGAAGTCTATACATTTACCTCTCTGCTATTTGTTTCTTTAGGAATGCCTACGGTTACGTCTACTGCAGCCCTGCTATTTTGCCACATGGATTTTTTGTGACTTGGTGTGTGAATCTGGCTCTCAACACGGCATGGTTGTTCCTGTGGGACAGAAAGTAAGATGGGAGTTTTTCTGCATATGAATCATAATTTTCAACAGAAATGATTTCATAGTATTGTGAAACCATCTTCAGTTAATTCTTCCAGGAAAACTAAGTGTATATGTAGCACATTTCTAATGAAAAATGCTAGCTCCTGTTCAGACTCAAGGGGATGATTGAGCCTATCCAAGCATGGTTACTAGAGTCTCTAGTCCCAAGTCTTCACCTATGATTAATGAGATCATTGAGGCATTATTGCAATTACTTGAATTTGGACTTTTGAATAATTTTTTTCTGTTTTTTCTGACAATTCCCCCCCCCCGTTTTTCTGAGTAATTTTTTTCTGTTTTTCGGAGTAATTTTCTTTCTGAATTATTGAGATACTTCGAACTCCCGCGAGAACCTCCAACCTGCAAGTGACACCAATGGACCTATGGTGACTGCTGCCCGCACATACATGCCCCATCTTCAACTATCAACCGTACCGGGTCAATTTTGCTATGTTTATATTGCTATGTCTAGCACATCTGAATGGGCTTTCCTTCTAAACAACAGCAAAGTCCTCAGGTGCCTGCGTAGAGTCGACAAACTAATGATAATACCATCTATATGACTTAAAGACAGGACTATCTCCCAGTGTCTTAAACCCAGATCAAAGAATAACTTCAAATGCTCTCTAAAGTCAGATAAAAAATTAGTCTGAAAAACAGAAGAAAAAAAAAATTACTCTGAAAAACAGAAATAATTACTCCGAAAAACAAATACATTTTCAAGTGAATGCAATACGCTTCCGTATATAGAGGACAAGTTGAGTAACAAAGTCTAATATTCTAATATTTTTCATCCCTATCAAAGGTTGATGCCTGCAGCACTGGTTTTCCTCATCCTCATTGCCTCGACAAACTACCTCATGATATTCTTCTCCTGCCATTGCCTCAGCATCTATGGAGCCTGGCTCAACAAATACCACAAAGTAGATCTGTGGCTCCACCGTGTGTTGGTTCGTTAATGTTTAACATATATTTTGGCAAAATCTATTCTCATATGTTTTTCTCCTGAGAGATATCCTGCATATGTCTCTGCATTTAAGTCCTGTCTGTTGTCTCTGCAACAGGTTCAGAATGGTATTGCCATATATGCAACATGGACGACCATAGCATCCCTAGTTAACCTGACCATTGTGCTGACCCATGATGCAAACATGTCACAGACGGACGCTGCCACAGTCTCACTCTCTATTTTGACTGTAGTGTTGTTTGGGTGGTAAGTGTGAAGTAGAGGAAGAAAAATCTGCAATATCTTTAATAAGTTCATAAAAAACTTATTTCTTGAGCAAACGTGTTGGATCTCTCGCAGGTTTATCCTGGAAAACGTTGTCCTCGACAAACACGTGAGGTACATTCTCACCATTTACCCCTTTGTGATCTGGGCACTGACGGGGATATTCACCAAAAACTATAACGCTGCAGCTCCAACGCGCAATAACATCTTCATTGGTGAGGAATTTCAATCATTTTAAACATCTTAGTCTCTATTACATCACCTGAAACAGGATAAATTATATATATCATCAATTATATATGCCATAAAGGACTGATAGTATGCACACTAATGCTTCCCCCTGATATTTCTTTCCACTGTAGCTGCACTGTTGGCTATAGCCTGTACCTTGTTTGTCATGCGGGTATTTTTGGTCGTGTGGAAGAACATCAAACAGCCACTTTATGAAGATGCCAGCCCAGAGGTCATGTCTCCAATGGAGATCGCTGAGAAGCAGAAGACGATATTTAAGTGATGATGCTGAATGTATATTTTTGTGATAAATCTTTCTGTACTGATGCAGTATTGTTTCCACATGATATGTATTTCTTAATGCTTTGTATATATTGTAATTATCTACTTTTTACTTGGAGACACTATAGAAGTGACATGAACTGATGTGATGCTGAAGTCCAATTTAAGTTGTCTTATTAGCTGTCAATACATTGTGTTCTTCTGTTTTGTATACTGTTAAAAATATGTATTGTTTTCCCTTAGTTTTATGCATTTGTGGTATATATGAGATAAACATTCACTGTGTAAATGTATTATGAAGGCTTTTTCTGTAATTGTTTTTTATGCCGTGTGTGGATTGTGTAACTCTTTATATATATAGTTTATTGCATATGGCTTTATCATTTAGTCATATTTACTTTTCAGATAGTCACTGTATGATTTTCGCTGCTTCACCAAGGAGAGGCCGCTTTGGGCGGTTCATTCATGAATGGGTCCTATCATATAATTATATTCCGTTTGCTAATTGAAGTTTGAACCTCCCCTATTTATAAATGGACATTTCTGCTGTTCTGATTGCACTAACGGTGACAACTTCTAGCTTGTTTTTTGCAATAAACATGAAGACTATTTATCTGTGAGTAGGCCTGTTCTGTTGGTTTTGATCATTATTATGTCCCGAAACAATGTTTAATCTTCAGTACATAAGAGATAACGAACACTGCAGCTGTTTAATCAAACAATAATGTCCTTGGTACTGTAGGTCACTTGAGAATGGTTTTATAGGCGGTCTTTGACTTGAAATATATCACACTGAAAAGAAACTAACATGAATCAGAACATACAAGCACTATCAATGTATGTCATCTACAGAAAATGCTTTGCAGTAGAAATACAGCAATAGTGAAACAACATAAATAGAAATAAATAAAAAATACAAGTCTACAAGCAGGTATTGAGCTGCTTATTAAAGGTGTTTGAGTACTCGACAGGTAAAATCATACACGTGATGTGTAAAGGGTCTAATCATAACAGATCAAATCACTGCCAGTCGTTCTCATAAAGATTTAGATATTGCCATGTTCAATATTTGTGATTGACAGTGGGGACCAATGATGTCACTTTTGTTTCACCAGAGGGAGACATAGCCGGTAAATAAACAAACAATTGAAACGGAGGAAAACTGAATGAACTGTGGCAAGATAATGAATGTTCTGCTTTACAAAATTTAACCAAAGGCCACAAAACTTCCACTGAAGTTTCCACTGAAGCCGTGTTTGTTTTGGTGTATGTAACCAACACAAGGATTATTATATACTATATAACTTGATAGAATTTAAATTTAAAAACAAGCACAAAAGGTATGTCATTCATTCAGGAGTCACCTATATGAATGTGTTTTATAAATATCGATCATATGAGGGGAAATGTGGATGGTTTGTTTTATGATTCCCTCCACTGTGGCAGAAGATAAGAGGGGCACGTGATGCTCTGAGTGGTTGTAAACCTTACACAACTAGTTATTCTATAAAATAGACAGTCCCCTGTCCTCTGCACAGTTACTCTGGTCCCTCACACTACGAAAGGTACGTCTTGTTTCTCTTCATCATGTGGGCTCTCTTTTTGTTTTATTGTCAACGTTTTATTATCCTGACTTTATAATGTGGGCACTTGTTTTGGTTTTCCTGCCAACGTTTTATTATCCTGGAGGAATCTCAGCATGCACTAGTGGCACGTGGACCTCTCTGAGGTTACACAAGTTGTTATTAAAGTTGATATGAGTTTTCCGTTTATTTCAGTTTATGAAATTTGAACTATGAAAATAATTTAATTACAGTGACAGACTTTTTAAAAGGTTTTTATAGAGACAAAAGAGGTTACAAGAAAACTGGTGATTTATGAAAAAGATGTAAAAACTTGTGAAACTTTGTCTGAATGGCCTATGAACTTGCTACATGAGGTGACTTATTATCACCTGCAGCTCAGGGAGGTCAGAGGTCAGGTTCAAATGCAGGTCAACACCAATGAAAGCACATTTCTTTGAGAAAAAGTTTATTTTTCATTAATATAAAACACTACAATGTGCCAAATGTAACAAAGTATTGTATATATCCAATGTAATTATGTTCTATAAGTTATCTTCTGCAACATGTTAATAAATGTTTTATGTAACTTAACTTTTATATTTCTAAATAATTTTCATTTATCACAGCAGACCACGATGGTAAAACATAATCCTGGACGTCTTGCTGCAATAGTGGTGTCTGTTGTCGGCTTTGCAATAAGTTTGGTGTTCAACGGGTTGTCTGTAGTTGGCCTTGGTAAGTCAAAGCTTCGTTCATCTATTTTTTGTATTTAACTTGTAGAGGATGTTAAGTAATATTGTGAATGGGCACTGGAAGATGGCTGAGAGATAACAAATATTGGTTTACCTGTTACATTCCTCTCCATTCTCACTCAATATTTGCATTTCTTTCTCCCTAGGTCCCTATGCTACCACCACAGCCAATGTGTCTGCTGTGTTTGACACCCAGATCACACCTTCAGGATGGACGTTTAACATCTGGAGTGTCATCTACGTCTGGCTGACAGCAATGATTATCTACATCCTCACGGGACTTTGCAGAAAGTTGGGGGGAACTTTTATTATTTATTAAAAATATTTATATTTTATTAAAAATAATAGGAAGTGTAGTGCAGTTTGTAATACCCTTTTGGGATACCAGATGTGAGACAAATGAGCCACAAAAAAGAATAGTTGCCAAAATTGGCATTTACTGTTCAGTGGACGTCTATGTTTTCACAACTCACAGACTCCTTTCTGCTCGTAGGAATGGTTATGGCTACGTTTACTGCAGCCCTGCAGTACTGCCTTATGGATTCTTCATTAGCTGGTGCCTCAATCTGTGTTTCAATATTGGCTGGCTGCTTGTTTGGGACAGAGGGTAAGAGTCTCCATCGGAAACTTTTAAATGACTCCTGTGATTATTCTTTTTTTAAATTAAGCTCCATGTAGTACATAACACCGGTTTATGTCTCACACTTCATGTTTTACTGCAACCTAATTCTAACTGTCATAGAAACTATTACAAACAGCAACATAAAACGTGTGTTTTTCTGTTGTTCTTGTGCCTCTCTAAAGACAAATGATTGCTGCACTGGTGTTTCTTATCCTGGTCATCTGCACAAACTACTCCATGATATGCTTCACCTGCCACGGACTTCATATTTATGGAGCCTGGCTCAAGAAATACCACAAAGCAGATTTGTGGCTCCTCCGTGTGTTTGTTAGTATGAATAATATACAGTATTTGCATCATTTAGTGTATATGTTAAGGTTTTATTCTTGCATCTCGAAGGATTTAAGAGTCTATTTTGTTCAGATGTAGTTAATATAATGTGGTTTAAGTGTAAACAGTATAATATTTGCAGGTTCAGAATGGTGTGATGATATACACCACATGGACAACCATTGCAACACTAATCAACCTGACCATTGTACTGAGTTATGATGCAAAGATGTCCTCAACGGATGCTGCCACCATCTCATACTCTATTTTGGCTGTTGTGCTGCTTGTGTGGTGAGTGGTCTTCACTTATAAAATACTTATTAGAGAAATGAAGTGCAAAAACATCAGTGAGATTCTGAAGCAATGTGTTTGTGCTGCGTGTTTCACAGGTTTGTTCTGGAGAACTTTGTACTTGACAAACATGTGCGGTACATCCTCATCATCTACCCTGTTGTGATCTGGGCGTTGTCTGGAAACCTCGACAAAAACTACGATGCTCAATCACCCAGCAGAAATGGCATCTTCATTGGTAAGACTCTGAAAAGAACTCTGTATTAATAATAAGATGATAATCTCTACAATTAGCTTGTAGACATCACATCAACTAAATGTCATTAGACTGATTTCCTGAAACATGGCAGGTATTAAGAGTAAATAAACGCAATACTAATGGAAAATAAATTAGTACTTGAAACTACAAAGTACTTAATCTGACGTTTTAGTAAATTATATCCACAGTGAAGCAAATTTACTTAGAGCACATCTGACACACAGATCCCACTTAATTAAAACGTTACCTCCAAAGTATGAGGAAATATTATAATGCTAATGGGCAGCATAAATCTTTGTGACCACAAATGTCTCTTTAAAAGTTGTACTAACTAGATTTTTTTCCCTTAGTTGTGCTGCTGGCATTAGCCTCTGTGCTGTTTGCCATTCGGATTGTTTTGGTGGTTTGGAGACACATCAAACAGCCATTGTACGCAGACGTCAGTCCTGAAGCCATGGAACCGGCGGAGATTGCTGAGAAGCAGAAAAAGATATTTCGCTAAACATTTTTATAACAAATATGTCATGTATCATAGAAAATAGTATTATTATACGTTTATGGTATTACTTTGTTGATAAGCAAGAGGACAAATGTTTTATTTTGTAAATTTTGATAGATTTAATTTAATTTGATCACATTCAGTATGATTTAAAATTCCCTCATAATACGGCATCATTTGCATAGTTAAATTATGTAATAAGCAACATTATTTTCACCTCTGGCTAACTGATCTCTGAACCTTTTATGGCTCTTTTCTAATATACTGACTGCAAACACAACTCATAGGGCTCTGATAAGGAGACTATTACAACACTACAGAGGGGCACAACACTGTAATCATCACACCACTTTATAGCATAGATTGTATGCTTTAAAGACTTTACAGTGTGTTTGTTCATATCGAATGGCAATTTATATTTCAATGCTAATTGTAGTTTTCTTGAAATATTTATTTGGAATAAAGTATTCATGCAAAGTGTGTTTTAACAGTTCAGCGTGGGCTCTTTTTTCACAATGTAGCAGACTGTCACAAATTAAGCAGCCTAGATATGTGCTACTACTTCAAAAGTCTACACACCATGGATTATCACCAAATACTATTACAGCTGTTTTCTGTTGCCTATTTGGGTAAAGGTGTTGGGTAAAAAGTCACACAGTCACAGGAATAGGGTGAAAAACCTGGAAGATTATTTGAATGATCTTATTATTATCAGATACATGATTATTATCTGCAGCTCATCCTGTTGGTTAGGTATCATCATCAACCTGTAGGGGGCACCAACGATCCGCCACAGTCGGCCTAAGCCTGCCGGAAAATAAAATGTAGAAGAAGAACATCGTGTACCTGCGGTTAGTTTCCCTGAGTTTGATCTTTCAGGCAGCGAGTGAAAGGCTTTTCCCGCTAGCAACAAGCTCCTCCAACAGTTCAAGTAGTCGGATTTCTGTAAAACGTTTATTAAACTCAAGTTTACGATATAATTTTAAGATATAGACTGTGGGTTGGCGTCTGTAAAAGTAGCGATGGTTAACGTTAATGCCTGAGAGGCTGAACTCAGGGCAGGAAGTCGCCGTTCCCCACCAGAGTGCGCGGGTTATTCACAAATTGTAAACAGCGCCATTGTTTTGCTAACGCTAACGTTGGTTGTCTAATGGGCGAAACAGCTGTTTCACCAACCTTTCACACGATTATATAAGTACTCCTAACTTGATACTTAGAGCTCCGGTGCAGATAAATGCTTTCTGGGGGGGCTAACGGAATAAAAGCGGTTATTTCAAACTAAAATGATAGCTAACGTTAGCTAACTGTTAGCTTGGGTCTGTCGTAGTTAAATGGTCGTTTCCGTTAAAAATAAGGATACAGAGATTTCTACCAAACATAAATGGAGACAAAGTACCCTACCTTGGTAAGTTAAAGTCTTCTTATTGTGTTTCCTTTGTGCTCCTGGGCCTGTGGGTGTTTCTATTATTGTGTCCATCCTGTGTGTCAGAATAAAGGCTGTTTAAATGCATTAAATGTTATAACGTTACTAAGGTTACAGTCATTAATAAATAGCTTGTTGTACCAAATAAACAAAAACAGCCTGATGTAGTATTCAAGTGGTGTTATCTGGTAATCTTTTCCCCAATAAATCTACATGCTAACTGTCTGTGATTGTGTCTGTTCACAGAGGAGACCAAAGAGGAAACTCTGCTATCTCACAGATAATGAAAGGTAGTTGTTTTTAAAAGTGTTTTTAAACTATTTGAAAGAGGATGCTTTGCGATTTTATGTAATATTTTAAATATACGATTTTAATATGTTCAGTGTTCTGTGAGTGAACTCTGAAATGTGGGATATCTGCAGTCGTTGCATGTTATTAACTGGGAATTGTAGTTTCCAAAAAGGTTTTATGTTATTTTAGTGTCCATGTGTTCTTGTCACACATTTATTGAACGTATGTCTTGTTGTAAACTGTATGTCTTTCTCTAACATTAGCTTCTGGGGAGATATTCAATCCAATCCAATCCAACTTTATTTGTTAAGCACTTTAAAACAACCAAAGTTGACCAAAGTGCTGTACAGGAGAATAAATAAGACATCATAAATAAAAGACATAACAGCTCACATGAGGCGCAAAATAACATATAATACAACAATAAAATGAAAAGACATAAATAAAAATAATAACCATGCAATAACAAGCAATCAAAAAGTAAAAATAACAAATACAAAAAATAAATCAAGTAAATAAAGTCGACATCTTACTAGGTGTCAAAGGCCACAGAGAAGAGATGGGTTTTAAGACTGGTTTTAAAAACAGACAGAGAAGAGGCCTGTTTAATGTGCAGAGGCAGATCATTCCATAATTTAGGAGCAGACACAGCAAAGGCACGTAAACGTAAAATGTAGATTAAATGGTATTAATAATGTTGAAATGTTGGTCTTTCAGTTATTATAACCTGACGTTTGTGTTTTCAGTCCATCCAAACAATGGGCAGGAACACTGACATTGGGAGACGTGGATAAGATGTTTGATGACTTGGGTGAGTGTGTGATTTGCTTTTTTTTTTGCTGCAGTTTGTTTTGCATTTGCTTTATGTTAACCTATACTTACCTATTCTTTTTTTTAAAATTTTTTTTTCAGATCCATCCTCACATGATGACGGTGACATAGTTCCCACATCTCCTCTGCTTCAGACCTTTGATATTGAGACAGACCACAGTAAGAGAGAGTCTCATCCAGTCCCACAGGAAGGACATCTAACAGAAAAACCAAGATGCCAAGTGGTAATGAAACAGTCAGTTGCTACAATGACTTCTACTGATATTACAAATTTAGTAGTCCAAAAAGTGTTTTGCTCTGATATTGGATAATAATAAGGTAAAATATCTTAGAGTCACAAATCTCTGATGGTTGATTTAACAGATTGATTTTTTGTTCAGTGTTGTTATGTCCTCACTTGGGAAAGTGCTGAAGAGCCAGAAGTAGAACTAATTTAATTCACTGTCTGCCAGGCACTCCCAACATTTTCACAAAGGTCCAGCATGTAATGTTAATAAGAATCTAGTGGCACAACTGTAATATAATATCCACAGGCATGTTTTCATTAGTGTATAATCACCTGAAAATAAGAATTGTTGTGTCTTCGTTAGAATGAGCTGTATTTATCTACAGAGGGAGCGGGTCCTCTATTACGGAGTCCAGCATTTCGAACTGCCATGTTTCTTAATTAGCCTAGAACGGACAAAAAAAAATACTGGCTCTAGATAGGGCCTTTCACATTTTTCTGATTAAGTGCTTGTTTATAGACTCAGCAGCTCTTGTATACCCGTTCAAGGGTTTTGGCTACTTTCTTGAATTAGACAAGGTTTTATGTCTTTTAGATGTGTTGAGACTTTAAATGTATGTTTTGTAACTCTTTAGGGTCCTGAAGGAGATGTCCTGGATACTGCAACGAGGTCATTCAGTCCTAAGCTAGAAATTGGTATGAGACTCAAACCTCTTTTTTTATTGAGAAGATAAAATACGTGACCTTTCTAAATTTACACAATGTTATGTCACGTGTCCTTCACAGTTTTTTGTGTTGTGTAGAAACGTTTTTATTGTTTCCTTGTTGCAGATTTGGATGTCCCATTCAAAGCCCATGGGCCAGTGAAGACATCCAGCCCTATTGAAGAGAATATTGTTGTGGAAGGTGTAGAAGAGCTGGACAATGAAAAAGACAGCATTGTGTCCCCAATTCTCTTTCCCTGTGAAGATGAAGGAAAAGAAGAGACAAAGACAGAGCCTTCACCTACCCAGAAACCCCAATGCATTGGGCACGCCACAGAGAAGTAAATACTTATAAATGCCTTTAATGTCCTGAATATAATGTTTGAAATACATTTTTAAAATAATGATTTGGCTGTCAGGAGTTTTGTTTTGATGAAGTGTAGGATTCTAGTGTCAATACTGATGGTCAACACTAACATCAGCAGCCAGTATATTTTTGCTTGTAAATCTACAGCACGTTTGTTTCAATAATTGTCCTTCTCCCTAGAAGGGATGACTCGGAGTTTGAATCTCCTCCAAGCAAGATTACTTTAAGTGCACCCAAGATGTCCAGTCAAAAAAACAAGGGGGAAGGATCATGGTAAGAGTCTTTTAAATCTCAGTGATTAGTTGCTGCAAGCACCCAAACACTCCACCAGTATCTGATAGATTGTAATGCAAAAGGATGCATTACAGTATGATGTTTGATCTTTATTTGTCTGGTAACTGTGTTCATTACTTTGAAAATTGTCTTTTTTAAAATGTTGTACGTGTGTGTGTGTGTGTGTGTGTGTGTGGTGTATATTTACTTTTTTTGCAGCAACAACAGTCACCCAGTCAAAGAAAAAGCACCCAAGAAACCTAAAACACCTGTTTTGGATGGGAAAAGAAAAGCACCAAGGTAAGAAGTAATGACTTTTTAATGTATAGTTAGTTAGTTTTGTGCTTTCACTTTAGATCTGGTGACCTAACAATACTGGATATTTGAAGCCAATATATGTATCAGCATTTGAAAATGTATTACCTGGCATTAAGATTGAGTATTTGTGTACAACGTACTGGCCAATATTTAAGTTTGTATAGTATATAGTCTCGGGTGACAGTAGCGCAGTCTCAGACTTTGCTTCAGAACTGTAGGGTAGCTGGTTCAGGTCCAGCACGCACCAGTCAGTACAGAGTGAAGACTGGTAGCTGGAGAGGTACTTGGAGATCCTAACAATGCTGATTATATTTGTGATAAGACAATATCGGCCTGTTCATATACATGTATGCTCCATTTGGATTCATATCACAGGCAGTTTTCCACCTGTATCATGAGTTTGACAGAGTTTGCTAATAAAATGCAATACAGCAAAACTCATTTGATGCAGCAGTTTAGTGTTTTGTGCATTTTCTCTATTCAGCTGGAGAATTTCGTTCAGTCAATTCTGTTTTTTTTGTTCATTCACAGTCAAGAAAACACAAGCCCATCCGTCTCAGCAGTGAGACAGGAGCCTGAAGTTGCAACTCCGAAGAAAAAGTCAGAAAGCGTCCACGGGCAGCCACCGTTGGAGGTGTCCACCCGAGTGGGAAAAGACATGACGACTTTTCTACAGAAGCTGAGAGATGCTGGAAAGCCTAATCCTGCATGGTGAGTTAAGATTAGAATGCACTTTAATAATTTAATGCAATGGAAATGACCAAAATCTGTACAAAAGGAAATGGATCTGGTCCTTGAATAATCCATTCAATACTTGTCTTATGTTCCAGGAAGTCTCTGTCACCGGTTAAAGTACCCACTCCTCCTGAGCCAGAGGATGATTTCCTGATTCTTGAGGATGATACACCTCTTTGGTTTTCCATACCAAGTAAAACTGCCAGCACTAAGAGACGGGGCATAACTTCCAGCACCGACAAAGACAGCTCAACAGACAAGGGGTCAAAGGATAATCCGCTAGAAACGGCACAACAACAACAGGAATCTGAACAGGAAAACGACA